ACATAAATAGTTTTTGTTGTTGTTGTAGTCAGTGTACTTCTGAATTTATTGCAGAATAAATACAATATATGTGTGTGTATGTATGTATATATTCAGTTTATACTCAATTGAAATGTATGTGTGTTGCACAATAATTCGTAATACAATAGTTTTTTTATAAGCAATAATTTTGTTTATACAAAAAATTAGATTCTGTAGCAACAATTTATGTTAAGGATATCGTGTTTTACAATTATCATTCTTGTCGCTTCTATTGAGACGCACAGCATAGAGCGAGAGGCATACAGCAAGCTGTGTAAAAGTGACAAAGATATCAAATGCTGGGGCAGAGCCAGCGGTCGAGTCAAGGCATATGGCAAAGTGTTTGAGTTTAAATTGGAAACGATTTGATTGGGATTGTTGTTAGCGAGGCTGAAGCTTTTATTCTGGCCTAATTTACAAAAGTACAAACGTCATCCCCACTCGCTCTGTTAACTGTTACAATTTTTGATAATGTTTTTACACATTTCGATACTTGCGGTTAAAAATAAAATACAATCAATAACCAATTTCGCTGAGTAAGTGTTAATTGATCAATGAATGTATATCGTCTTTCTTTATAATGTGCAATTGTATATATATACGTTATATACATATTTATATATATATATTTGCATATTTGTATATAGTTTCTACAATGTTATTGAACATCGGGCCGGGCGTATTGTGGCGATGGCTCTTGAGTACATTATTTCGCTTGACTTTCAACATAAAAAGGATTTTCCGCAAAGTTCATTTTGTTGTTTAAAACTGCTTAGTAAAATTAATTCACAATATTAAATATCTTCTTTTTTTCTCGTTTTTGTTTTAGTATTTGTTTTAGTTTCATTTTTTTTTTACTGTTATTTACTCTCATTACTCGATATTAATTAAACGCGTGTGGCTTTGAGCGAGAAAAAAAAAATAATCAGACTATATTAAAATCAAAAGTTTTTGTTTTAAATAATTACAAAGAAAAACACAAGGCGCAACATTCGGGGCTTATCTCCTGTTCATTTAAATACTTATTTAAATTAGCTTATGCTTGTTTTTCATGTTGCGTTTTCTGCTGTTCCTCTTCGCCTTATTTTGTTGCTGAAGGAAGCTCAACAATAAAATCTCCGTAACAAATACTACATAAAGCCAGTGTGTGTGTGTAATTAATTAATATAATTAAAAAGTACATACAAGCTATCAACTACAGTTAGTTGTGTGTGTGTGTGTGGGTTTAGGTGTGTATAAGCAGTTGCCAAGCCTTTTGGGCGCTTTGGGCATTGGACTTTTTGAATCTCTCAGCGCACAACAGAGTTTCACAATTGTCGCATTTTTAAATACATTTTCAAAATTACAAAGTTTAAATAATTTAAATATACACACATGTGGCCCCAGACTATGCTTAAACACAGATGAAAAAAATATCAATATATATATATAATTATATATATATCTGCGTATGTGTATATAAATTTATAGAATAAGCACATACATGCCGAAGTGGAGAAGCATGTCGAGGAAGCGCTGTCCCCTCTCGAAATGTTTACACTTACTCGCTTAGCTAAACTCTTTTCTTCATTGTTTTTTCTCTTTTGTCTTATTTATATTTGCTGTTTTTTCTTTTTGTTTTGTTTTTATAATATTTGTTTGTAATGCGTAATCTACATATTACCCAGCTCACGTAAGAAATACCAACATACAGCGAACGATACACATTCAATGCAAAACACAACTTATTAACAAATCATTTAAACATTTGATGTCTGTGGAATTCAAGCGAAATATGTTTTTTTTTTTCGTTTTTAATTTGACTTCGGCATGGCCCAAACAGCTGGCCAACATCATTTAGCTCATTGTATGTGCTGCAGAAGTTTGCCCAGATGTTTAGTTATCTTAATAGCCATGGAAGAGTTCTGATCTGCAGGGTATGTAAAGTCCTCTAGTTTTATTTACGAGTCTGTGCACATGAGTTCCCTTCCGATTTATATTGTTGTGTATGTGTTGCTGACACTACCCTGTTGATGCGCAGTTGCTGTTGTTGTTTATTTTTGTGATTGTTGTTGATGTCGTTGTTGCTGCTGCTGTTGATGTTTTTATTGTTGTTGTTGTTGTAGTTTTTATAGTTGTAGTTTTTATAGTTGTTGTTGTTGCTTCTACTGATGTTGCTTGCATGGTAACTACGCCTTCAACACTCACTTTGGGACAGATCAATATCCTTTTTAACGCTGCGCGCCAAACGATCCAGCTCAGCGGCCGCATCGGATCGAACCGATATCTTCTCGGCCGTCAAAAGAGAATCGGTGCCATTGGAGGTACGTGGCGTGCCTACGCCGCCACCAGGACTGGCTGCGCCCGCCGGTCCACCAGCTGGTCCGCCCGACTTTTTATGCAACAACGAATTAAAGAAGTTGGCCAGCACACCTTCGCCGCCGGGCGTAGCAGGCGTTAGCTTGGGATCAATCTGCAATTCCGAATAGGCAAATATGATGAGGAATGTCTGATTGATTAGCACATCGCTAAACACTCACCTTTTTGGGCGAACTTTGACCGGCGCTGCCGGGTGTGCGTGGTCCGCTTTTGTTGGCGCCAGCGCTAGCGCCCTGCGATCGCAATGGCGACTCGCCACGCACCTGGCCGCCTTGCTTGAGTATCTCCTGCTGGCGTGCCAGGAAGGCCTGCTCGTCCTCGGTCTGCACCTCCGCTTCGCGATTGGAAACGGCCTGCCACAACAAATAGAGACGAATATTAATATAAGCTAAGAATTATACAGTTTATAGTCTAGAATTACCTTTCGTGTGGGCGGCGCCTTGATTATATCTGTGTAATGATTCTCGGCCTTGACCGCATGCATGTTCTCATATAGAATACTTATTTTCTTCAGGCTATCCCAACCCGCCGGACTATAAAATGAATATCAAATGATGATCTAAGCATAATGAAGATATCAAGAATGGGATCCTTACATGAGCACCGCATCCTTTTCAACGACTAGCGCTGGCGTACGGAATGGTAAGCCATAAATTCGATGCGTTAGATATTTATAAAGGAGATCACAGTTTTTGTCCTCTTTCACGCTCGTGTAAAAGAGCGAAGTGCCGTGCCGCAGACAGAAGTTTCGTATCCATTGCTGTATGAAATCGAAATGCTCGTCGCGGTACTCATACTCCTTCTCCAGTGTTGACATGTAGTCCGTCTGTGCGGGGAATACATACATTAAGAGTTTAAGCAAATGGCTGATCTATGTGTGAGTTCATTGACGCACCTTTGTGACCACAACAACAATGTCCAGGCCCAGATTTGTAATTAGTGCGTCCTCTGTCAGCGGCAACAGATCATCCTCATCGATCGAATTGTTGTGCATGGTGCGTTTAACAGGTGAGCCGGGATCCAAGTCATCTCCCACCTCACAGTAGCTTTGCCACGTCGTTGCTAAGCGCTGGCGTGCCGCCTCCTTCTCTTTGGGATCTAATTGCAGGCTCTCAATGTGCTGGGCAAGCACCTTGATCCATTGATTGAGCTGCTCGAGCCAGCCCCATGGCTGTGTCATCGAGACTGTTAATATGACGAGGGTGTGTGCATAGTTCGTTTCGTTTAGCGCATAATGCAGCAGATTTGTGTGTCCTGGATCGCCATCCAGTACCCAAACGCTGAGGCGCGTCATATCTGCAATCGAAGCAACAATTATCAATTAACTTTCTTATTCAAATTAAGCTAATACCCACATACCGTCTCTGTACTCATCCTTGACATCAATGTAGGCATACTCCAGGCCAGAACCCTTCTTCGGATCCTCGACGCCCTGCAGCTTCGCAATGAGCGTCGTCTTACCAGTGGCATTATCGCCTAATACTAGTACAGATTTATTTGATGGTAGTTTTGTGCTGCCTTGTGTTTGTACTTCATTCAATATCGCTGACCTGTAACGAGCAAATGAAATTGGGTCATTATTCCGTTGGCTATCAAATTTCTGCAATCTACATTAATGCCGTTTCAATTTTGTGTCACCAGCAGCTAGGGTCAATCCGTAACCATAGCCCCTAGCCCATGTCAATGCCCATGCCCTTAGCCGTATCCGTAGACCAGCAGCTATAAACCACAATTCTCAATACTGTGCCATGCCACGCAATCAAACTAATTGCATACCTTTGCTATTTATGAGGTCGACGTTGTTCCTTTGTATATGCACACACACACACACATATACACACACATGCACACACTCATATATTCTAGTTTTTCAACAGAAAATTTCCGCAATTCAATTAAATTGAATTAAATATTCCAATTGAAAATTGTCCTTTGCTAACTGAGTCACCAAGTGGTGGGTGATTTGCTGGCCAACTTAATGATCAAATGGCCAACTAACTGACTGACTGTCTGACTAGCTGTTTGACATGCAAATGACGGTAACTCAATTGGCTAAACTGGACGTTGGCGCCTTCGTGCCAAAAATTGCGTACTGCGAATATCGATTGCCCGATTTCTCACTTTTAGCTTTATTACATTCGTTTCTATTGAATTTTCAAAGGTGTTGCACAGTGCACAGTGCTCGAAAACCTATAGAATATGCTTTAACTGAAGTTTGCTTTATGTTTGAAATCTATTTGGATAGGATTCTGAAATTTGCATATGATTCCTTTGATTATTGAATTAAGTCCTTAGAAAATAGATAAAAGAAGAAAAAAAACAAATTTTTTATCTTTAATTCTTTTTGGAAAGAGAGTTTTGTCTCACTGTGTCTTAGCTGTCATTTGACTAGCGAGGGCAGCGGTGGCTCAAGCGGGGGTTGGCTAGCTCACTCGCTTCGCACAGTCGACATGCAAACAACCCGGCAGCAGTGCCCACCCCTCGGCTGTGCCCAGTCTAGTTCCAGCCTGGTTGGCATGGTGCACGAAAGGCCCAAACGAAAAATATTTTCCAAGCTTTCAAAGTTCGCCTGAATGGCTGACTGGCAGGCCAATAGGCCAGGCAGGAGGCAAGACGTTTGGCATTAGCTTCGCGCACTTTGGCCGCGCCACGCGTAAAAACTGGACCACAAATATATTGAACCGGGCAACAGTCCGCAAATCGAAAGATTCAAGCGCTCCAATTCTGTCTAGCATAGAAATTGTTATTCATTGCCAGAATGAGTTTGCTGCTGAAGCGACGGTCGCGCAGCGAGACGCGTGCTCAGCCAACACCAGCGGCGGCGGCAGCAGCAACAGAAGCGCCAACAAACAAACAAGAGACAACAAGAAAGGAACAACAACAAAAGGACAAAGAACCTACCATACAACACCTGGGTCTGGGCATGGGAATGGGCAGACGCAAGACATCCGCTGAGCTCATCAGCGAAGCCAAACTATATCTGGGCGACCTGTCCACGGCAACGGCAGCAGCAGCGGCCCCAATGACAGCAGCCGGCGGTGCCCGCTTGGTCAGCACAAGGCGTCCCATAACGCCACGCGAGCCCGGCCGTGTGCTCTACGGCAAGGTGGCATTGGCCGGCCGTCCGCCCAGCGCCTTCTCGTAAGTATATCAAACAACCTCTCGCTCTCTCAATCGACAAGTTTCTACTCTTTACGCAGCATGCGATATCTGCAGAATGAGAATCATAAGCCCTTGACGCCGCCAACACCAGCTGCCGGCACGGAGCTCTTATTGAATCGTCGCAATGTGGATGCCAAGCCACGTCAATTGCCCGCATTGCCGGGCGCTGCGGCAGACACCGCCAGACCACCCACGCGCAATGGCGCTCTGTTGGGCCAGTGCAGCTCCGAGATGCTCATCGAGATGCTGAAGCAGCATGCCGGTCTCAAGGATTGCAGTGACGAGACAGTGCAGCACATCAATGCGGTAAATGAAGTCAGCAGCGCTGAAGCAAAGCTCACGATACTCAACTCTTTTGCTGTCTCTCTCCCTCTCTTTCTCTCCCTCACGCTCTCTGTCTGTCGCACTGCTGGCTCCAGATTTTGCTAGAGCTGTATACGCGTGTGCATAAGCAGGAGCGCAACTTCAAGCGTGCCTTCATCCTGGGCGGACTCTATGGCCTGGTCGAGTGCACGTCGCCACGAATTCTGCTGGCTGTGGCACGTGTTGTCCTGGCGGTAAGTGTGTGTCAGCCGTTTATCGATAAACGATAAATGCCGCAGCGATAATCAATGTTCTCTCTCGAATTAAATCTTCTCCTTTTTTGTACAGTTACGCGTCACGGGCAGCAATTTGACAGGCGCCTGCAAGCTCATCTTTAAGGTAGCTCGCCACGAGCAGCACGACGTTCTGTTCCACGAGAACGATGTGCTGGAGCTGCTGATCGATGGCCTGGGCCACGCTTCGCCGTTGGACGATCCGGAGGCCTGCATTTATGCCTATGGCTGCATACGATTTCTCACCGCCAGCAATGCCCAGGAGCGCGACGATGCGCTCAATCGCAATTGGGCCGCTGGCCTCGAGGAGCTAACGTCGCCGCCGACGCACGCAGCTATAGCAGCAGCGACAGCATTGAGCACATCGAGTGCGCCCGACACGCGCAAGCTAAATGGCCAACAGACGCTGGTTTCCCGCCTGGCACGCCATGGCGCTGTCGAACTTATGATTCTGCATCTGCAGATGCTGAACGAGGCGGGCGCCACGCGTCGCCTCAGCGGTCCGCCGCTGCACACGCTCTATCAGTTGTCGGCGGCACTGCGCGCTCTCGCCGATGTGGCCCAGCAGCAGCAGCGGCTCCAGCTGCAGCTGCAGCTGGCCTGTCCGCATTTAATACGCGCCGCCGAGGTCTCCATGGGCGAGCTGGAGGTGCAAGCGAACGTGGTGCGCACGCTGAGGTAAGCAAACGGCTCATTGCTGTAAATTTCAATCCCATTGATTTCCGCCTTTCCCTCTGTCTCGGTCAGCGTATTATCCGAGGATGTGGAGTGCTGTGAGACGCTGCTTAACTATGCAGCTCGCATTGGTCTGCTACTCGGTCCCTACTCCAAGGGCGGCAAGTGCAGCGAGCGTCTGCTGGCCGTGCTCAGTCGCCTCGGCTACATGTTGGGCAACATTTTGGCCAAGCACGAATCGGCGCGCGTCCAGGTCTGTGTTCAACACCTCTATAACATATGTAGATCAATATATATGTGATCATAATTCTTTGCCTTTGCAGTACTATCACAACGATGTGGCCATGGAGTATCTGTTGAATGTGCTGCAAGAGCTAAGCGAACGACCGCTGGCCAGCGAAGCCCTGCTGGATGCCCAAATCAAGCTGATCCGTGTCGTGGCCAATATGAGCGTCAATGCGGATGTTGGCGCTGGTCTGGGCAATGTTCACGCTCTGGGGGCTGTTCTTTTCCGGCTGCTGCAGAATACAACGGTTGCCCTGGATACCAAATCCACTGAATCCGCACAGCCTGCCGAGCTGCTGGAGCTGTTGCATGCCACGCTTGGCGCCTTACACAATCTGTGTTTCTATCAGGACAACCAAACGACAACGCCAGCAGCAGCAACGACGGCGACTCCAGTTCCAACTCCAACGCCGGCGGCCGGCTCGCTGCAGAGTCTCATCGCTGAGCTGTCGACCGCTTTGGCAGCTACTCTGAAACGCTGTCAGTCTCAATATGTGCCCACCAAGGTGGAGCTGGCCCGTGTCCTAGGCAATCTGACACGCAACGAGCTGGCGCGTCGCTGTTTCTGTGCCGCTGGCGGCTTGCCACTGATTGTGCAGCAGCTAACGCGGCAGGCGAACGGCCGGGACTATGAGCTGCGCACCTGCGCCATTGGAGTGCTGGTCAATCTGCTGGGCGATGGCGAGCAGCGGGCGCCTTTTTTGCAATTGCGCGGCGCCGAGCTGCTGGCGCTGCTGTTGCGCGGCGCACTGGAGCAGGAGGATTGGTTTCTGGCCAACATCGTGTGTCAGGCGATGTGGAATCTACTCATCGATGCCCAATGCGCGACAGCCCTGTGTCATAGTGGCAGCATTCTCGACGAGGTCAGCGATCTGTTGGCTGACTATTTGGATGAGGAGCGTTTGACAACTGGCGACGAAGCCAACGACGATGATCCGGAACAGGAACAGCAACCAGGAAAGGAGCGTCAACCAGAACCGGATACAGATTTAGAGCCGGAGGCGGCTCCAGATGCCTTATGGGAGGATTTTGCGCTGGTTGCTACCGATTTGCTGGAGAGAATTCAAAACAATTTCGACAAACAGCAACGGCAAGCGACACACATCGATAACGATGACAACGACAACGATAACGACGATGTCTTTATCGATAAAATGTAAAACAATATCTCAAATTAACAAATATATACAAATATCGATAAATATCGATTCGAAAACTAGATGGTCGACTTTAAAATATAGATAAATAACGATTTGAAGCTGTCAATAGCTATAAATAGGACCACTACTGCTGCAATATATCAGATGTCTATTAACTATCGATTCTCATCGATTACAGACACACATATATACTATAAACTATTTAAGAAATATGTTTAATTCACATTTGTATATTCTTAGAAAATTAACAATAATCGATTGATATCGATCTTGTAGCATTATTAATGATCACTACCAAATTTTCAATTATATATCAATGGATGATTAAATTTTATTATAATTCTAAGCTAACCCAGTGTAATAGCCTTTGAAATTCAATAACTCTAGACATTAGTAAGGAATATGATACGAGTTTAGTAAAATAAATAAAAATAAACCTACTTCGATAAGTGCAATATGTTTATGCAAGCCAAATGTAAGCAGCAACCACACATTAAGAAAACCATTAATTCTTTAATCTACAAAATTGCATTGATAGCGGACATTTCTCGAAATAAATTGCATGTTTTACTCATTTCTCGTTAATGTAAATAGAGTTTTACACATGTTTTGCGAAGCTTTCGAAATCGATCTGCGCCAAAAGGTGTTTTGCACATGCGCGCCCCCTAACGGCTGGCTAGCAACGTACATATGTACGTATTTAAACGATGACAACATCATCACCACACATAAGCACGCACACGCACAGAGTCGACTTAAAGCAAGTCTTCGCTCATTGGGCAATGCAAATTCCAATTGGATTGTCAACAGTCTAAATGGAGTCGAACTATCGATAGCTCGGCTTATGGCTGTATGCTTACGCGTGTGTGTGTGCCTTGCCTATTAGACATAACACAAATTGATAAAGCAAAAGGTGCGCGCTGTCGACTGCGCAGCCGGCGGCGCTGCCCTCGATTTGGCTGCTTTATGAATCATTCGCTAGTTCACGCTCACCCTCTCTCACTCCCGCACTCTGTCGCACTCTTTCACACACACACACATACGCATCGAGCTTTTGTTTTTAGCATTTAGTTTGTGTTTATGCCACAAATCTATTAAAAATTTGGCACAAGAGAAAATTGCCAAAATACAAACATATATATATATATATGTATATATATATAATGCGCATGTGCGTACAGGTGTGTGTGCGTGTGTGTATGTGTGAGCCAAACGTGGTTTGAGGTTAGGCGAATCAAGGTACAAAATGACAACATGCACTAAATTTAAGAGCGGCATAAAATCAGCTGCTTTATTTGCCTCGCCATCCCATAACAATTGTTGTGGGTGTGGCAGGTGGCAATTGTAGCCGGCTCCCACACACACCGATACCGAGCACAAGCGAGATAACAGTTGCCAAAAGAAATATTGCAAACGTCAGCTAAAGAAAGTCAAAAAAAAAAGTAGATAGCCAATAGCAGCTGTTTTGCCAAGAGCAATTTGCTTGTCATATGTTAAATGTCTGAATCCGCACAGACGCACACTCAGTCACATATATATGGATTCTTATTGAGCCCAACTCACCAGAGGTTCTCCTTGTCGGCAGCGGCATCCTTCTTCTTCGTCGTAAAGGATGATGTCAGCGCATTGCTGCCCGTCATCGTTTGCGTGACGCTATCCAATGCCATTGCAGTTGTTTGATTATTAACTGCGCTCCTGGCGACCTCTTGGCCTCTCGATTGCTATTGCCTGTTCCTTGGGTCAGTCAGTGGGCAGCTGCTGCAGGATGCACGGAAAACGTTAGACCAGCACACACACGCACACACACACAACAGCAATGACAACAAAAACAAAAAACTGCAACCGAGTTGCATTGAACTTGAAAGACAACGGGCAACGGACAGCCGACAACGACTGCAGTTGCAAGGTGTCTGTCAGAAACGCCTACGCCAGCAGCGACGCTTCCGCTACTCCGTTTTGTTTGCGTTTATGGTTACGTTACAGCAGAACAACATCAGCACCAGCAACAGCAGCAGCAGCAGCGACAGCAACAGTAGCAGCAGCAGCTGCTGCGACGTCGACGTCGACTTCGCGATTTGAGTGAATGACAAACGCGCAGATTATGTCTATTTAAATATTTTATTGTTGCAGCTAGTTTTATGTACGGACTTATTACGCAGCTACTGACGATGCTGCTGCTGCTGGCACCGTCTGGCTAGCTGGCTGACTGACCGTCTCTCTGTCTCTATGAACAATTCGCAAAATTTCTTTACGTTGCTTTGTTGTTTTTTTTTTACTCTTTTTTTCCTACGTACTGCAGCTTTTACTAGAGTTATTTTTGTGCACTCCGCTAGTAGATGTGATCCGTGGCACTAAATTTGCTGTTTAGCGTCTGAGTTGCTGCATCTGACGTTAGTTACTTTGTTTTGAGTTTTTATTGAATAAAAAATAACAACAAAAAATATACGCCCGATATTAAGATGATGAATTTTTCGCTGAAATAATACAACGAAACTAGACACAGTGTGTACACACAGCGCTGTAATAGGAAAATCGTTTCCAGTGTTGCCAAACTATAAGATGATATTAGGTCTGGCAACTCCAAAAGCACTGTTGCATTTTCTGCCCGACATATTTTGTGCTAAGTGGCAAGCCTTCAGTTTTCATTCAGCAACAACAACAACAAATATACAAAACTTACTCTCACTTAACGCCTTATATATATGCAATTCGAATACTCATTAAGTTTAAGCTCGTTTCAAAAATGCAACCATCTGTGTTCATTCTAACTGTGATATTTGCTCTGATCGCCAGCAATGTTCCCCAAATAAACGGTAAGTCTGATCAATGCAAGTTTGCTATTAAAGTCTTTTGTTCGACATACGCACGCACTTGCATATATATGGCTAATGTAACTCTAACTGCGCATGTGTACGTGATGGTGCGTAATGCACTGCAAGAAAAAGAAAAGACTAAATTCTCTATATATGTCTCGCTCGCTCTCTTCCAATTGGCAGCTCTTCTGCGTCGGTGCTATCAATGTCGCTCCCGGGGTGAACTGGGCAGCTGCAAGGATCCATTTACCTTTAATGCCACGGACGTGGACAGCGAGCCAGGCCTCTCAGCTATACCCTGTGCCAGCGGCTGGTGTGGCAAGGTGATTGAGGGCGGCGGACCCTATGCTATAGATGGTAACACCTACACATTTACATTTATCATTAAACATAATAAAACTTTTAAATTGTTATCTAGACTACGACCGAGCTATACAGCGCATGTGCGTGCAGCGTGGACCCGATGACAATATGGATCGTTGCGCGGACACAATATACAACTACAACAAGGTGTATATGTGCTTCTGTCAAGGTGATCTGTGCAATGGCTCCAATGACCGCTGGCAGCATCATCAGCTGCTGCCTCTTCTGTCGCTCTCCATTTTGGTCAGCACAATTTGCAATAAAGTGCATATGTATTTGTAATATCTAGGCATTAATTGTTAACAAAGATGGTAATAAACATTTATCAATCGCCTGCATCCAGCAACTCAGCATTGGGATTTCTAATTGAGTTGCGTGTACAGGACGGGCACAGACGGTGTGGCTTTCGTCTGCCTTGATCGGCATGGCACTCCTGATGGAACTGCTGGCGGCAACGGGTGCACGGATACTCGACGCCCTCGCACAGATAGCATTCGTTGCAGCGTAGCGCTGAGAAGGAGAGGCGAGAGAGTTCAAATCGTTGCGGCAAATCCATTAGCCAGCGAATCATCTTGTGCAGCGGCTCCTCGCGCGGTTCCTGCATTGCCTCGCGCTCTCTGACCAGCGTTCTCTCCATTCTATCCTGCACTTGCACAACACACTACAGAAACAGGCCAGCTATTTGGAATTTAAAACCCAGATTAACCAATTCACTTACGCTATGCAGCATGCCATAGGGATTAACCCTGTCCTCGCGTAACGCACGCCTTTTTTGTCGGGAGCTCAGGCTGCGACTGCTGCTGCTGGTACTTTGCGTTTCCGATTTGCTTGATTGTTTACTCAGGCCCAAATTGGCCATGAACAGCTCCTTGGTCAATGGCCCCGGCAGATCATTAGTGATGTCTTTCATATACTCAAAATTGTGCAACGTTTCCAGTGGCTCCTCCTCCTCCTTCCCCATTGTGAAGTTCTCATTACAATTTAGGCTCATGTTCAACTGGCATGTAGACACTGAGACTAAGGTAGTTCCCTTAAGCAATGAAAAGGGCTGCTTCGACTCAAAAATGGTTGGCAAACAAAATTCGCCGGAAAAAAACAAACCTCTTTCGTCCAAATTTAATAAATCAAATTAATTGAACGTTTGGCCAACGGATCATTGAATTTTAGCGGTCTAACGTGCTAGAGTTGCCAGGTCATCGAAAACATACGACTTATTAGGTGTGGCCACACTTACATTCATTTTTATACTGTATCGTTGATAATTTTACTGTTAAGAATTACAGTTCCTGGCATCAGTTAAGATTGATAATTAAACTACGGCGAATTCAATTATAAGTTAACTAAATTAAATGATATACAATTTGTTTTAATTAAATCGCCTACTTGTTTTACATTACAGTAATTTTAAATCAATGTTTGGAACAACATTTGAGGTTAGACAATACTCAAAAATAAATGTCAATTGAATAGAACGAACGCTGGATCACACAACCAAAAATATATGATTATGTTATACCAATTTATTTATTATTTATTAACTATTTGGAATTTATTATTTTAATTTAACGAACATTTATTCTTATCGATATTTAAACGTTGATAGATATCGATTGAAAACGTTTTTCGTTAACTTTTTGATTAACCGATAAAAAGGACGATGCTCTGCAATCCTTGTTCGATTTCAATGTACTCAATTAGTTAACGGTTAATAATTTCCTACTAAAACGTAAACAATTTCATAGATTACATGTTATTTTATTAAACAAGACAGCATAATATGTAGATATATGCACGAATGCACATAAATCTCGTTTTCACTGTCATATTGAAACAATTTCTGCACATGAACATACACATTTACTCAATTCATTCGAAAATGAACACTCGTATATAATATATTTTAAATTCATGTATGAATATGAAAATAAACAAGATAAAAGCAAAAAAAAAGTGTGTATATATACATGTTCATATATATATATATGAATATACATATATGTACAAACATAGTTTAGGATTCAACGGTCAGGATACACTGTACAACAAAAGGCCAGAATGCTCACAGTGGAGCGAAAACAACAAATATTAGCACTAGGACGAAGCAACTCCCTTTACCCTGCCTGACAAGCTCCAATCCCGCCAGCACTGCGGACAACGATTGCTCAACTGCGCCTGCGACATCGTCAACGTCGACTGCGTCTTTCCTTTGGCATCCTCATGACAATCCAGATGATAAACACCATGGCAACTCTGACAGCTCTGCAGACTTTCTATAAGTAAAAATATGGAATAAGGAACATAATTAGTCAAGCTTTAACACAGCACAGATCTGAACTCAATCTTACCACCACGTTTTTTGCATTCCTTGCATTTCTGTTTGCCGACATCCGGCTGACTGTTGCCCAACAAATCTTCCAGCTTTTCAGGCGTTTTACTTTTACTCTTGCGGTTGGCTGTAGCTGCTGCCGCAGCATTGGCCTTGTGTGCCTTTTTGGCTTGCAACCGCTTATCCTTGGGCGACAAGAGAAACTCCGGCTTATCCTTGAGCTTCTTTTGACGCACCGTGTCGAAGGCGGCCAAATTCTGGCCGTAATGAAAGACAACGCCGCTTGCGTTTTGAACGGTTCGGCGCTTGCGTTTCGAGTGGCGCTGGCACAGCTTCTTGACCATCTCGTGCGTGTAGAGACCAAACAGGCCAAGGAAATGCTCCCGCCCGTATTCAGAGGGCATTACACGGGTTTCGCGTGGCTCATCGCGCCACTGCGCCGCTGAGGCGCATAGACGCTGCTGCTCCAGCTCCAACTCCTGATGCGAATCATCCGAGGAACCCGACGAACCCGTTGATGCTCCAGCTGCTGCTGCCGCCGGCTGCTGCACCGCTACCACCGGCATTGGAGGAGTCGTCGCCTGCTTACGGCCAACTCCATGCGCATTGCGCGTCTTATACTGTTTGCCGGAAGCCTGCGGCGCTGACTTCTTGCTTGCTGTTCCTGTGGCTGGGACAGCTGCGGCAGTTGCTTCTATCGCCTTGCCCAATTTTGATTTGGGAGGCGCAGCGCTGGATTGCTGTGAGCTCTCCGTCAGTTTGTCAACGGGCAGCTCTATGACGTCCTCTTCATCGAACTGACGCGGTTGTTGTTTGGTTTTGCGAGCGCGTCGTAGCGCCTGGCGCAAATTCATTCGACTCTGGGCGACGACCTCGAAGTCTGTTCCGATCGTTGCCTTGGTAATGGGCGCTAGCGGCGGCGGCGATGTCTGCACGCGTTTGATCGCCTGCTTTGCATCCGCCCGTGACGCACGTTGTTTAGCAGCGACCAGTGGTGGGGGCGGTGGTGGTGGTGGCGGCGGCGGCGGTGGTGACGACGACGATGACTCGGTTGACTTCTCAGTCTGTTCCTCAGGTGTTTGTGAGCTGCGCGGTATGAGTAGCGAACGATGATCCTCCTTTTTGGACACTACAGGCGATAGCGGCGGCTCCGTCTGCATTTCCGTTGGCGATGGCGATGGCGATAGCGATGGCGATGACTTCATCAAGCTGTCACCCGATTCGTCCTTCTCATCCAGCATCTTCGCTTCGCAGGCCTTGTCGCTAGTGGAGGCCTTGACACTTCCAGTGGCAGTGGCAGTTAGTGCATTCACAAGCAACAGAGGTACATTGTCGTCCAGTTCGCTAAGCTTGAGCGGCTCAATGCCACCGTCGTCGTCCTGTGAGATTAGGAAATGCTTGCGTATGAGCATCTCTTCGCTGTCGCGACTCAACACAGATTGCGGATAGATTTTATAGTTGGCATCGCCAATGAAAGGCACTATCAGGCTGGAGATATACTCGCTGCCCGTCTCAGGTAAAATTCGTATATTGTTCTCTTCCAGCTTCTTGTAGAAGGTGTCCAGTTGATGGTCCAAGCGCAGCATTAGCCATTGCTGCTCAGCATTGATCTCGTACACCTCTGCTTCCAGTTCGTCGAGGATGCGCCGCATCTGCACCGGATCCTGCAAAATGTGATTATTCAATATACATTTTTTTTAACAACCTTCAATGCTATTGCCAATCCACACATGACTAAGTGCCATAAAACAACAACAACAACAAAGAAATACAGAGTTGAACGTCGTGTCGTGCTGTCAACGTCGCACGTGCCTCAAATTCTCGTTTCACGACAAATAAATTAATAGAAAATCGAATCGAGTTACGCAAATGGCATATGAAAATGAATGTATTTAAATAAAAAAGGAGCTTTAAATTAAATATTAGATACAGGGTATCAGCCTTGGCATACATATACATACTCTTACTTTACTTTACATATATGCATACACACGTACACACCTACACACACCCATGCATACAGATACATTCCGTAGCGCACTTTAAGCGGCAGCAACTTCTTCCTGCCCCGCTTTGTGCATACTTTTTCTTGGAAAACTTTTGTTTGCTCAGCGATCAGCTAAATTCAGCAAAAATCGGGGATATACACATTCCCAATTTTTGCATGCAACAAATATATTATATGGGGAACAAAAAAAGAAAAATAATACTTTCTAAATACAGACATAGATATGAAAATTAACCTATCTAAATAATAATTATATCAATGCTATGGACACGCGCCCATCTCTAATCAAATGAAACGGTGCATTGTAAAATAGTAAATGAAGTAAGAAAGCAAGCATTAACTAGCAACAGCATTTGGGTTACGGGGGCTACTTGGACAAGTGCGATGTGTGGACTGATTAAAGGTGGCAACACTGTCTCTATATGCGATACCTTTTATTCTTTTTCATTGCACATTATTATGTTACTCCAAACAAAGAAAATATACATACCTACGCATATATACATATATATATATATATATATATATATATATATATATATATATATACATATATATACATATAAATACATATATATAAATACTATATGGTGTGCGTAATGCAGGACTGTTATGGAATTGGGCAACTTACCGCATCGGCCTGCTCCTTGAACACATCGGACACCAGCTGCAATCCAATGGAGTTGGAATTGAAGATATCGGAACAGAACAGAAGTGGAAGTTAGCCAACGGTCACACAGGTTGGTTCACGTATTCATTGTTTCATTTTCTTAGTCTTTTGCTTTTTTGCTTTCTTGATTTTAGATTTTGCTGTTACTCACCCCGTGCACTTTGAGAAAGTCGCGCATTGCACGCTGGCAGTAGATAATGTCATTCTTAAGCTCCAACGGCAGTACATCAAAATATTCTATGTATGACTTGACCAATGAGATGTCCTCGGACACATTGTCATTGCTATTGGCGCTCATCTTGGCAGAGCCTCGGAGCGAAACGAACTTGATCGAGATTCGCTATTTGGGATGCACGTTAGGAATATACATATATGTGGAAATGTATTGTTTTTTTTTTTTTTTTTTTTGTATTCTTTTTTTCCCTAGTTTTCAAGCAGCGTGAACGGAGCGATTTCAAAATTCGCGACCTGCTCACAATTCAGTCGGCGCAGGCAGCAACAACAACGCGACAAAGCAACAACAGGCAGCAGGAAGCTGCAAAATATACCAATTAACTGCAATTTTACTTATCGATATATCGATACTTTTTTAATATTTAAAAGTACGGTCTGGCAACTTTTCCGTGGCATCGTGGCATCGATACTTACGCTTTTGCCTCTTGGACTCTCGTGTTTCGGGCCAAAGCCAAACATTATCATTTTCATTTTCCTCATCAATAAATAAAAATAGAAACTAAATAGAGCAAAATTAACAGTCCACAGTAGTTGCTTGCACTGTACACAATAACAAAAAAATAATTGAGTAACAAATTTAAGTAAAAAGTGTAAAGTGCAGTGTAAAAGCAGTCAAGCGCCAACCAATTATCAACGCTAAAAAAAAACTCCCACAATGTGTAAGTGCAATGAGTGAATTATCAAAACTATAATAATTTGTAAAAAAAAATTATAAAATAATTGCCTACAGCAGCAGCAGTGCAAGATATAACAAGAGACCAAGAAAAATGTTGCTATCATTGTAGTTGCTATTGGTTCTGGTGCAGGCAACGGCATCACTCAACAATTCCGTTCCCCCCGTTTCGCTTTGTGCGGAAGCGAGCAAGAAACAGCTTGCTGACGCCCCAATACGGCAGCAACGACAACGACAACGAAAGTAAAATTTCACCCAAATTTGTTTGTTTTTGCTGGTTTGCTCTTTGCCTTTGTACCCCCACACATACACACAGTCGTACACCACTTGACGTACTCTTACAAAAGCTGAGTAAAAACAAGTTTTTGCTTTTGCTGCTGCTGACTGCTGCTTATTTTTTAACCCTTTCTGTTGGTTTGTTTAGATTTATTGGCAGCAGCGAGCAGCATGCCGGCTTGCGCGAAAGTTTAAAACGGCATTTTGCCCTCCTTAGGCTGCCTTCAGTTCCCTAACAGCTGTACGTATGTGTGTGTGTGTGTGCATCTATGTGTTTGTGTATGTGCCGTTAAACTGGTTTAATTGCACTCTGCATCTTCGCTTCATCCGTAGCTGCGGTTAGCGCTGTTGCTCAACTCTGAGTCAAGATAAAAACAGTTTTCGAATATTTTCTGCAATTAAGTTTAATACGTTTATTGCTCAGACTCCCATAAACATACGTATGTATGTTATTCTTATCAGAAGTCAAAACAGATTGTCTTTCACGCTATTTACTCAATTTTCAAGTCTGTTTTTTTTTGCCCGCACACATATACATGCATATGCACCCGCATGAAAATATATGGCATTAACTACGGAATAGGGGAGCAATATTTTGCGCAGCTTTTCTGACAACAGAAAGTGTGCACTCATTGTCTCGAAGTGCACCACAAATATGCACTTACACACACGCCAACACTTATGCACACTAATATAGTCATAGGTAATGAGCTCCAGCAGCTGGCACTGCGCGTAATTCAATTTTGACTTATGCGCAGCACGCAACTGCTTTGTTTAGCTGACCACGCCCACCAGACCCGTTGCCACAGTGCACAAAAGAATGCATCGCTGTTGCCGATCGGTTTTTCTAATTTACACACATGCATATATAAAGATATACATATATATATATTCGTGTGTGTAAGTGTATATGTGTTGCATAAGTACGTGCGTTGAAATGATCTACTAAAAGAGCACGAATGATAAACGAAACATTGTTAACATATCGATGAATCGAATTTGGTATAACAATTAAAATAACGATACTTTTGTTTGGGAATATTTAATTGCGATATTTTTGACGAAATTGGGCATGAAATTTTAGTTTGACTTTTGAACTTAGTCAACAATATAAATAAAAACTTTCTCTAATAAGAATTATAGATTCAATACTTAACTGCATGGAATGAACATGAACATGAATTATCAAGAAAAAATCACTTTCCTTGAGGGTCTTCATAGTAAAGGAAAAGAAGATGAGGCGCATGGAATATCTGATTTTTCATTCAACACAAACCCAAATTAACTAACTGCTTGTAATTCATTCGCGATTTGTATTGAAAAATAAATAAAAATAAATACTCTGTTAAAATTAAAACAAAAATCAGTATCACTTAAATATTTATCATGTCAATATGAAATAATTGGAATTAAGGGAATACCACCGATGAACATATACCACGAACAGACCAAAAGGAGGTTATCGAACTATTATGTTTTCACCGATAGCATTCTAATATATAAATAAATATATATATATATATATAATTTTATGAGTTATTTTATTTTGTTTCCTACAAAAAAGCTAGCTGTGATAGGTTGGACCCACAGATCCTAGAAATATGTACAAGCGTATGTAATTGACTGCTTCATAATAATTGTTAAATATGTGACAGAAGTTTTTTATTGTATCAGAGTATAACAAATTTGTGGTGTATCGGCTTGCTCGCGCAATGAAGCTCTCGCAGGCGGCAAATGCAGCTGCAACTGCCACTGCAGCGCAAAATATAGAATCAGTTGCATTGTATTCCACAAGCACTACCAGTCCCAATATACTTGCAGCTAACGATATCATCCAAGGTGGCGGCAATGGCAGCAACAACAACACCACCGATGGCAAGATGTTCGGGGCCACGGATGAGAATCAGAGTGCCATTACGCCGGATCTGTTAACCAAGTGGCGGGAGAACTTCTACAGTGAACCGAAAAATTTGCTGGCCCAGAACGTTTGCTCCCGGGTAGATCCGTTTGATGTGTGCCTGTCCCGCAAGACACTCGAGACGACCAATCATGTGTTCAACTATAAGGTGGAGACGGAAGGCAAGCCGGTTACCAATCAGCGGAGCTCTGGACGCTGCTGGCTATTTGCAGCACTCAATTGTATACGCCTGCCCTTCATGAAGAACTACAATTTGGATGAATTTGAATTCTCGCAGGCGTTCCTCTTCTACTGGGATAAAATTGAGCGTTGCAACTACTTTCTTAACAACATCGTGAAGACGGCGAAGCGCGGCGAGAAAGTCGATGGCCGACTCGTTTCGTTTCTGCTGCTCGATCCCACCTCTGATGGCGGCCAGTGGCATATGCTGGTCAATCTGATAACCAAACATGGTCTGATGCCAAAGAAATGCTTTCCGGAGAGCTTTAGCTGCGAGTCCAGCATACGAATGAATGCCATACTGAAGAGCAAGGTAAGCCGAAAGCAATTTGATTCGTTAATCCAGATAAAACAGATTAAAAAATGACTTCCTACCTTGAATGCAGCTGCGCGAATATGCGCGACATTTGCGGGCTCTGCTGGAAAAGGATCCCAGTGATGAGGAGATCGCCTGCAAGATTCAAGAACAAATGTCGACGATCTACAAAGTGGTTGGCATTTGCTTGGGCATACCCGCCGAGACATTCACCTGGGAGTACTATGACAAATCAAAGAACTATCAATCAATTGGACCGATCAGTTCGTTGGAGTTCTACGAACGCTATGTGAAGCCGCATTTCAATGTCGAGGACAAGGTGTGCCTGGTCACCGACCCACGTCCAACTAGCAGCTACGATCAAGTCTATACGGTCGATTGCTTGGGCAATGTTGTTGGTGGCCGTCCGGTTCTCTACAACAATCAAAATGTCGATCTCTTACTAGCCATGGTAACGAAATCGCTTAAAGCTGGTGAAGCTGTTTGGTTTGGTTGCGAAGTTAGCAAGCGTTTCGCCTCCAAGCAGGGCATTGAGGATGTAGATGTGTAAGTGTGTCAAATATCTTTAAGCATTGCCATACACTACAGCTGTCTCTTTCTCGCATGTGTCGCTCTCGCCCGCCTTTGCCGTCTCTTTCGTTTCGATGGGAGCAGCCACGATTTTAAGTTAGTTTTCGATATTGACATACAAACAACATTCTCTAAGGCGGATCGCCTCATCTATGGGGAATCAGCCATGACCCACGCCATGGTCTTCACAGCCGTCTCTGTGGACGTAAGTGCCTTGAATTTCCTTTTATCGTTATGTTTGTAATGGTTTTGATTCTGTTGCAGAAAAATGGAGTTGCTCAGAAGCTGCGCGTGGAAAACTCTTGGGGCGAGGATCGTGGGGAGAAAGGATACCTGGTCATGTGTGCCGATTGGTTTAGGGAGTTTGGCTTTGAGGTGGTCGTCGATAAGAAATATGTACCCGACGATGTAATGCGCGTATTCGATATGGATCCCATTGTGCTGCCCGCCTGGGATCCCATGGGCACATTGGCGCAATAAGTCAAATGGAAAGCTTTAGAGGGACAACAACGGAAATAACAATAACAACCAGTTGGCACTGCAAGCAATAACCACACAAACTTTAAATTCTATGTTCAGTTACGGCGATAATCTATCTTAAAACCTTAGCCAGATTTCTATATATATTTTTTTTATTATCTATAATATGTATGTGTATATAGCACATGCATATACGCTTCTCTCGGCTGATATTCATTTAGCGGCTTACATTAGATCAAACTTATATACAAACATAATCACACAGGCAGATACACACCTACACCTACATCTACACACACACACACCCACACCAACACACATGTGACGTCAATTGTTTTTGGTAGCGTATTATTCTACATATATAATCCTAGCACACGCATAGAAAAAAAACTGTGTAGTTGTAAGTAAAAAATGAAGATGTTTTAAAATGAAGGCGAAGAGAAAAGTTTAGCGTGAATTGGTGCCGGCCAAGCGCTGTTGGAATGTTAAAACGCATTTTATACGTACATATACATACATACAAATAAAGAATTATATACATATGTATATAGTTATATATACATATAAAAATACAAACACATATATATATATATATATATATCTAATATAGAATATGTAAATAGTATATTTTGTATCTTACAACTAACAGTAAACCATGCTTTCATTTTATGCTTAGCCTTTTAACAAAATCTCTTCACGAGTTATGAGTTACACTTTACAGTTAATCGCCGCTTCTTTCGCTCCTCGTACTCATAGCGCAAGCGCAGCCAAATACCCAAGCACATACGCACCAGCCGGTGATCGTGCTCCTCATGCTGTTTCGCAAATTGATATTGGGCGCGTATCATTTGCTTGGCCTGGCGGAGTTGGCCTCGCTGGATTAGGGAAATGCTGTAGTATAGTTTACATCGCGCTTGCAAAAATGGATCACCTACTCGGAGACCAATCGTTAGCTGCTGCAGTGAAATCTTTCCCGCTGTCTGAGCCTGTAATTTGCATAGTTTGACCATCGATTGTGTTCATTCTGTTGTTGGACATTTCTGCACTTACGCATCGTTCGAATTGTTCACCCAGTGCTGAGAAGCCGCCGCCTAGCGTCGATAGCCAAGACATTAAGTGCTCCATCTCGATGTGCTCCCATATTGTGTGCGCCAGCATATCCGCGAACTTATAGTCGATGGTGTCGCGTTCTGGCGGATGAAACGACAGCCATAGTATCTGCACTTTATGCTCTGCCTGCAGTTGATCGCGCAGCACCTTTTGCTGAAGTAGCTCGCGCAACCAGTAGTTGCCAGTGATGGCATCTAGCTGTAACAGCAGCCGGCGAACAGCTTTTTTCTGGCTCTTGTCAGTGTCGCCAGCCGGTTGAATGGGCAGACGATTGTAGTAATGGCGGCGTTGCCAGTAGTCGGAGACGCACAATATCAGTGTCATGCTGTGTCCGACGTCCTTGTTGCAATTTCAACTAATCCAGTTTCAGTTGAACTCATTAATCCAATATAAGCGTTTGCGCAAATGCAATCCTTTTATTCCAATATACATACGTCCCATCTACCGTCTGATTCCATATGTTTCTTCAGATTATGTGGCAGCTCTATACAATTTCCAGTTCGATGTATCGATAGTTAGGGCACAGGCCGGAGAAATCTTAATAAAATGTAGAGTAATACCGTTAATATTTCAGTTATAGAAATTTACCTATTTAAAGACTACCTAAAACTTAATCAAATTTCTCGGCCATACCTTACCTATATTTAATTAAATTTTTGCTGAAAATTCATGTATGTATTTTGTTCAGTTTCTAGTCGAAACTTGTCGATACATTTTAAGGGTATCGAATTCAAACAGCTTTTGTCTGCATGGATTTTGATTATAACAAAGTATATTCAAAATTTGTGCTGTAACTGTAACTAATTGCAATCCATAATGAGCAGCTGTTGTATTCTCGAAATGAATTATTAAATTAAAAATTATAAATTAAGTTTTACTTTTTTTTACATGACTGCATATTTTACAGCTGATTAACGACTGTTAAGTGATCGCAGATGATCGAGTTACGAAGTATTATCGAATAGCGCGCAGAAAGCTACGCACTACTCTCATATCTAACCGTCCACGACAAGTGTGTTTTAATTGTTGTGTTGCCCGTTAGAATAGCGGTTAGTTTGTTTTAAGACTTCAGAGCAAACGTGTCAAGTGCAGTGCCGCCGATATCGACTCGATCCTATATATATTAATATTAATTTATAGCAAATAATTGTGTTAAAGTTAAATACTCAATATGAAGTTCTATTTGCTGGTCATCGCTTCAATCGCATTTTTGGCTTACGTTCATTGTGGTAAAGACGGCTAACATTCTTATTTTTCTTCTATTTTGTATACCTAAATATCAATCAATGATTATTAATAAGTGGAAGTGTCTTATGTAAGATTTTGTGACTAAGTTTTTTTTTTATTATATTATTACATATGCATATGCATATATATATTTTATATATATATATATATATATATATATATATATATATATATATATATATATATATATCTTTATATATATATATATATATATATATATCTTTATATATATATATTGATAGATAACATATGTTTTACAAGTTTACGTACTAATATGCTGCATATGTATGCAATTGTGAAATCAGTTTACATAGAATGTGTATAGCCGGCAAACACTTCATATATATACCTAGTCATATATATCTGCTGTTGGCTCGTCCAAGGAACCAACGATCTTATCTGTTTTTTGTTGGTGCAAATGAATCATAAGGTCGTTTTTTCATTTCCTCTTCAACAAGTGTAAACGCATCAAGAAAATCTTCTACATAAACAAATATATATATATATATATATATATATATATATATATATATATGTATATACAAATATAAACATATATATATTTTACACTCTATATTGAACGGTAGCTAGTAGCTATGCACACATATGCACATACATACTCACAATCAGCTTATCTAGAGCTATGTCTGTCTTGGAAACGGAGAAAAGGTTATTATATGTGTACATGTTAGCGAAGGCTAACCTATATTTTTTTAATACATTGAAAATGAAGCAGTATCGCAGAATTCACATAAAAATATATATTTATATCTAGATGTGCTTAGGTGTGGACAAATAAATTATATTTATAATCGATTTACATGCTCTTAAATAAATAGCTTATCTTGATTTACAAAAACGAACAATATATCTCAGTCGCTTATCTGTTATAGGTACACATAAATAGCCGTACGTATTTACACATGATAAGAGAAAATAAACTGAACGAAGGTATTTCGGCCGTTAATTAGATCACAGCTTATTTTAATGCATTCGAGTCGCGCATATCTGGCAACGCCAAAAATTTAGGAAGAGGAGCTGGCAATCGAGAGCTGAAAAGGACTTACAGTTATATTTTGTTGTAGTCCGCCATATTGCCAAGCGCTTAAGTTGGCGCAAATGTCGATAAATTAACATGAGAGAATTAAAAACTTAAACAAATTCTAATTTGTATACATTTTTTATTTCTTTACACTTGTTCCCCTTTATAGAGGCCTGCGTGCAATGCCATTCAAAGTCTGATGAGCGCTGCGCCACCAATCCGTTAAGCATCATGGCCAAGGATTGCCCCACTAATAACACCCTTTGCTATACACGCGTCTTGAGTATGTGGCCACAGCAATGAATAATTAATTAGTCAATTAATAGTTAGTAACAATTGACTTCGCCGTACTGTTACAGGTGGATACACAATTCGTGGCTGCACCAGCGAATTGGACAACAACACATTGAAATCGTGCAACAATGAGCTGGAGTGTCTGACCTGCTCATCGAACGAGGGCTGCAACCGTCTGATTTTCCCCCAATACCGTCCCAAGTGTCTGCAGTGCACCGGCAACTCGACCAATTCGAGCTGCGCACTCGAGAATCATGCATATAGCAAGGTCTGCCCAATTTACAAACTGGGCGACAAGTGCTTCATTCGCAACAGCGGACGCACGGCTGACGGCTCGTTCAAGCGCGGCTGCCTCACCACTGCCCAGGTCAACAAACAGTGCATCATCGATGGCAACTGCTACACCTGCGAAGGACACGGCTGCAACGCCCTGCTGGCCAACGACACGCTTATACCGACAGCACGCGATGGTGCCATAACTGTCATGCTCTCGCTGGGTCTGCTCCTGGCCTGCGCTCTGTTCAATCTGATGCTGTAGATTGCAATCAGCTGCCAATTAACAATTGTATTTCCATTTCAAAACGTATTTGTAAACCTCTGACATTTTGCACAATATTGTATGTTTGTTTTTTTTTTTTTTAATAAAATAGAAAGTTAATACAAAGATCGCAACGAACTGTTGGAAATCATTTGAACTCTTTGAGCTGCAACAACAAAGATTTCCTCTGACAGTTCCAGCATTAGATATATGTGTATTTTGTTGCTTTTATGGGGTGCCATTGATGTGGCTGCTTGTCTAAGGACTGGCTGCCGCATTCACTTCCAGTGCTTCAATGGTTGACACACACACACACACACGCACACACATTAGAACCGGAAGCGCTGCCAATGCATAAATTTATCAACGCCTTCAGAACAAACGCAGTATTTCAATTGAGTTACTATGAGACAAAATGCGGAAGCAGTGCTTGAGAGTGGGAGAGAGAGATTGAGATAGAGAGAGAGAGACATTATAAAGATAAAGAAAGACATAGAAAGAGTTAGATAGAGAGAAGAAGAGAGATAGGTAGAGAGAGAGAGAGGGAAAGAGATAGAGAGAGAGAGGAAAAGAGATAGAAAAAGAAAGAGATAGATAAATACATAGAGAGGATTAAGAGAGAGAGAAAAAAAATTAAAGAGAGAGAAAGAGAGAGCATTCATCACACCTGCTCACATGAAATGTAAAATATTCAAGTATATTTAGTCTAATTCTAATCCTAATACGTAAGATAAAATTAAAACATTTGCGAAAGCTGAAGGAACTGTTAGAAAGTTCGAAAAGCTCGTCGCTTGATTGGATTTCACTGTTAATGTTCTCATTTTAGCACAAAAAAAAAAAAAAAAAAAAAAAAAAAAAAAAACACAGCAGATGCTTTGAGTTTTATTTCGTTTAAGAAAACAACCAGATTAAAGGCAAACACACAATTTTAATTTAAAAATTACATTAAATAGCAAACGCAGCTGCATAAATCATTTCTACGTGGACTGTCCGACAAACTCTATCCAGTTTAGATGCACATTCCAGTTGCCATTTGTAAGATGCGTAAATTGCAGATCCAAGTACTGACCCGCGACGGCCGCAAGAACATCTATGAGACCGATCGTTCTCGCAATGTGGCCGATTTGAAGAAGCGCATCGGACGCACCATGAACGTGCCAATGGCATTTAGCCGGCTGACATACAAGGGACGCCTGCTGACCAACGACAGCATTTTGGAGGATGAGGGCGTGAAGCGCATGTCTACGTTGGAGCTATATTGGCAGCCATTGGTGCTCACACCCAAGCAGTATCGCGAAAAGGAATTGGAGCTGGACAAGCTCGACCAGAAGCAGCGACATGTCTCACGCATTGCCGAGAACTATGAGCAGACGGTCAAGAAGGGCGGACACGAGAGGACGCCCAGCGGACTACGACGTACGCGGGACCATTTGCGGGTGAAACGTTCATTGAGCGCTGATGACATGAAACTGTCCACAAACAGTTTCATTCGACAACCGGAGCGGAAGATCGACGAATGCGTCCAAGAGGAGGAACTGATCAGCTCATCATCCTCCGACGAGCTCGACTTTCTGGCCTCCTATTGGTGCTGCTCGAAGAACATCGTTAAAAAGAGCCGCAAGTCATTGGAATCCAATGTGCTCAAATATGTCGATGTCGACATCGATGCTGATGCTGATGTCGATGGTGATGCTGATGCTGATGCTGATGCTAATTATGCTGATGATGCTTTAAAACTGGATGCTGGCAATGAACTGAAGATCACCGCATCTGGCACTGACTTTCCAACCTCAAACACACTCAAGGACGACGATGAACTTGAGGAGCTATTGGATCAGCGCTGCCTGAACTGCAAGCATCAGCCGTTCCGCAGCGGACTGCGCCTGGCTGCCGGCCGCATGTCTCGCAGCATCATATCCAATATCAGGAAGAATCAAAAGAATTGCAAGAAATAAAGAAAGCCACGCGGCTACCAGAAACTGGCCCACAGTTTGGATCGGGAATTGGGCACTTGTTTACTTTACTATATATGTGTACATACATACAATATATATATATATATATATAATCATGTGTATATATATATATATATTTTTTTTGCTATTTTAGTTACCAACACCTTTTCTCTCTTTGACTTGATTTTGCTTTGATTTTGATTGACCAAATTTTTAATATGCATTTGATGCCTGCCAGCAACGGCGGCAGATCGAAAAACTCAAATTTCAATTTTCCAGCTAATTCCAAATTATTGTCATATTATTGTCCAAAGAGAATGCATGCTAAGCGAAATATGTGCTAACAAATACAGATATATATATATATATATATATATATACATATATATACATAGAAAATATAGGAATCAAGCTTATTTTGAGCTTATCTTGATGGAGTAAATATTAGGGCAAAATGTACTTAATTAGGTATTGGACGTGATCTGATATCAGTGCAATCAGTTCGAAAAAAACATAAAATATTTATTAAATATATTAAAATATATCTATATATATACAAATATCTATATATCTATATATAAATATATATATACATATAAGGTATGCAAATGCCCAAGCTCAAGTTGTTGATTAAATTGTGGCCAAAAATGGATGAAAGTATTCAAAAAGAGAAATGTGTTAGAAATATCTAATCTGTGTTTTCATTATGCATCGATATTTATCGATAATAAGTAAACTGAGCGAGCTATCGAATTTCTCTACTTTTAGAATATAGATATATATATATATATCTATATCTATGCGCTTCTCGCCACGCCTTAGCTTTGCAAATTGGCTTTAAATGTTTACGATTGGCGATCTTGGCAGAAATGATTAATAAATTATGGCAATTAAAAGGTAATAGCAACATGTCATAACTCAAGAGAAATGAATGCTTTATTATATAGTCGTCGCCGTGTAGTATTTATATAGAGTAATGTTTAGATCGATGCGGATTGGGAGTCTGGTTCGCTGCTTATTGTTTGGGACGGAGGCAAACCACTTAATCGAAAATAATTGTAAACAGCGCATAGAGAAACAACAGAGCACCGAATGCTGCCCGAGCGGGCAATCTGAATCCTGGACGTAACTGGATGTTAAGATTTATAATGGAATCGCTTGAAAATAACAATGCCATATAAATATAGACTAAGGTAAGCCTCCTCTATATATATATATATATATGTGTGTGTGCAACAAAAATGCAAAGGTAAACAAACGTAGTCGGAGGGGGTGGGGGCACAGGTAATACAACCAGATGCTAAGTGGGGGCAATTCTAATGGAAATTTAAGCGTTTTGCAGCAGCGATGGCGGCCTGCATTTACCGTTAATTGAATGAGTGTGGGTGATGAAAAGCAGACACCAACAAGCAAAAGCCGACCACAAAAAAAAAAAAAACAAGCATAGAATCCACATCCATTTGCTGTTGCCTGCTCCAAAAAAATAAAAAAATAAAAACCCGCCGAACAGCCGCAATTGCTTTGATCGGCTCAGCCGCTGGGCGCAGCGCCCATAGCTGGCCAACACGCTAATGCTAATGGCTAACAGACGCCATTTTGTGCTGCTTTTCCTTTTTATACCCTGATCCCATTAAAAATGGGAAATCAGGGTATAATGGTTTTGTGCAAATGTATGTAACAGGCAGAAGGAGGCGTGGCAGACCCCATAAAGTATATATATTCTTGATCAGGACGACAAGCCGAGTCGATTGAGCCCTGTCCGTCTGTCTGTCCGTCCGTCTGTCCGTCTGTCCGTCTGTCCGTCTGTCCGTCTGTCCGTATGTGTGAACGCGTGGATCTCAGCATCTATAAGAGCTAGAGACTTGAAATTTTTTTTGTAGGTCCGTGTATAGCACGCGCAGGTCAAGTTTGTTTCAAATATTCGATAACTATTCGCATTTAATTGTTATCGAATAAAAACATTATTGAAATGCAGTAAATAAATTATATCTCGAACGTCTTAAGAGCTAGAGCCTCCAAATTTTGTATTTAGTCTTATATATATTTTATGCAATTTTGATTTTTGTTGGATTTTGGATACCGGCTCCAAATTCCCCCAAATTCTTAGAATTTAAGTTTAGTTGGAAATAGGGCCATTATGTGAAGGCGTTTGCATCTCAACCAAGCCAATAGGATATGTAGATCATATGCTGAAAATTTCATTAAAATCCATTAAGTAAAACAGAAGTTATTAAACAAAACGTTTGGCCAATTTCCAAAAGCACATGTCAGCAGCGCCACGCGCACGCATTTTTCCTATGCGTGTGCACACATACATTCAAATGCGTGTATTCTTTTCTATTCCAAGAATTGAAATTGCGATTGAATTGTGCTGAATTATTAGCTGCTACTTATGTTCAAATTTGCAACAGCCCGTGCAAGAAGGACAGTGGCTGCGTTGGTAGAGGCCCCGCTCGTATGCAGCTTGGTCCGGGTTCGAGACCGGAGGAGATGAAATGTTTTTTACTGTTTTATTTTTTTTTTTTTTAGTTATGAAGTGGCGGTGTTGGTAGAGTTTGTGCACGTTGCGCAAATAATCCGGGTTCGAATCCTGGTCTCGCAATGTCGATTTTTATTTGTTTTCTCTTTTTTTTTAATACTCGATACAAACTACGGAAAATATTACAAAACTCAAAGGACTGGGATCAGGGTATCTCCTAGTCGGGCACCCCGACTAGAGCTTTCTTACTTGTTTCTCTTCTGTTTTATGAGCCAAAATGTTAATGCCCCGCCGTAGCTGCCGTAGTTCCCGTAGCCGCCGGTGCTCGTCGAGTTCAGATCATCTAGGGCCGCTCTTTACGGTTTATTTAGTGTCGAGGTTATGGCGCAATTTGTATTTATGGCTTCGGCTATAGCCACAGCACCACCGCCAGCAAGCCACCATGTGGCAGCAGTCCAATTACAAGCATTTTCCAAATGAGGGCCATGTGAAGCCAGTTCACATCCAATGAGTCAGCACGCCCACTCGCCACTCAAGCAACGTTTGGAGCATCGCGCTCGACCAGTTAAGAGACGGCGGGCGTGGTCTCGCGCCCAGCGAAAGATCACAGAACGTGCGCATTGGGCTAGAGCGCAACTAAAGAGCGGCAGCATATATCGCATATGGAACACACAGTCTGCACTGACTACAAGGAACGGCGTGAACTGAATGAAACTTAACAGCATTTGTCTATACATATGTAATATAAACTTGAGTCTTCAGCGGATTTCAAATGGGAGATAATTAAAACTTGTTCTGCTTATATATATCGGTTCATATTTATTTTGAAATTTGTTGTCTTTTTCTAGTTTCATTAGTTAAAAGGCTGCATATATTTAGTGCTCACTGTAGCTATTGCTTCAGATATATTTATGCCCTACAGCATATATGTCGAGCATTTACAGTTCGTAAGTGTTATACAAAATAGTAAAACTGTTCGAAGCAGTTGAATGCCCTACACTTTATGGCAGAGCTTATGCACAGCTAAGACTACCACTTGCATAGTCTGCTTATAGGATATAAACTATGTATAGAAGGTATACCACAAATGTGTATAACAATGGGTATTTCATACAGAGTATTTCATATGTGGTATACCACACATAGGGTATTTCATATAGGTTATGTACATATACGGTATTTCATATAGAGGACAAAGGGTATACCATACAAGTATACAGGGTATTTCATATAAAGTATCTGATATATGTGCAACCTTAACTTCAACATGAAATTTATTTTTAATGTAGCTCATCTGATATTCGCCAATGCCCGACGAACTCGCTCGTCTACGATCAGTGCGAAGCTTCGCTGCCATTGGCCAATCGATGCGCAGCTACACACAGGCGCATACAGTTAGGTGCGCGCGCGCACACACAGACACACACATACACACGCACACATGGGCGATGCTAAATTTGGATGCTGATGCGACTGTTGAACGGCTCGAGTGGCGCAGCGATTGGTGAGCATTGCCTGGGTGATCCCAGCATCCATTGGACGGGCAAACGATGCGTCTGGCTCATTCCGCGGCCAAACTCTTGACAATACGGATGCGAGCGCGTGTGCAGCAGCAGCAGCAGAAGCAGCAACGGCAAATTTTCATTTTGAGTTCGAGTCAAGTGTGCAGACGGGGCAGCGCGGCATTGCGGTTCAACGGTTCACGGAACACGGATAACGGTTCGACAGCAAATCAGTTCGCACTTAGCCGGAAGGTGGCAATTGAGACACCTTTCAGCGGTTTAAATTCGCAACTGAACAGCAATAACAAAGGAGGAATCAAACGATCGGCCGAGTAAATCATTCAATCAATCAATCGTTCGCTCAATCAATTTGTTCGGTGTCAGGCAGAGCGGCCAGAGAAATTGGCAGTCAACGCGTTCGGACCATAAAACGCCAAACTCTAAAAAAGAAAAAAAATCGATTCGAACGGGAAATCGAACAAATTCTTGGGAAAATCGGTGAAAATATTTGAAAATTGCGTCGAGGTGTTGAAGCGATTGCAATTTTTCCCCACAAATTCGTTTCTTTATATATTTTTTTTCTGTGCGTTTGTGTGGTGCTTATTGTTGTTGTTGTTGTTGTTCTGATTGACACGCTGACAACTTGAACGGCGGCTACCTACATTTTTTCAACACATACGCGAGCACACCGAGTGTGCCTAACTGTGTGTGCGTGCGTGTGTGTGCGTGTGTAATAATCAAATTTGACAACTGCGCGAAAAACTTTTGAAGTCAAAACAAAACCAAGAACTGAATGACCTAAGCCAAAACAATATCAATTATTCACTAGTTTTTCAAAATTTTCGTGTTTATTATTTTGTTTCTCTCGGATTTTGGATATTTTTTTCAAATATCATTTATATGGGTTAATTGGACGCTGACATAGAGTATATACAGAGCAGACACACACAGCGCAGCGCGTTAAGATATCGTTTCAAAAGTTTTCGAACTCAAATCGGAAACATGACACACATGCTCGGCCCCACGGAATGCGCCAGCGCCATGGTGGCCACGATGCCTGGGTTCCTGGACAATGGCCTCAACAGCAATCTGGCGGACTATGGCTTCTATGCGAATGACTATTGGACCTCGGCGTATACAACGGCCGGACTGAGTCCCATGAAGCAGATCGAAGGTGAGTCAAGTCAATACAAAAGCGATCTTGAAAGTACATTTCGTTTATGGTTTGTATAAAACTACAAAAGAAATAGAGCTTACTATAGGAAATGTCTTTGCCTAAGATTGTATTTGTAGAGTCAAAACTTCTTTATTACTCTTAAATATATTTAAACATATTTCATCACGACGCAAAGTATTTATGAGATGTTTGTATTCTGCTCTTTATTAATATATTTATTGATGTACACAAAAAAATATTAATAAAGCACGCTTAACTGGCTTTAGTGAGCGAGTAACCGACACAAAGGCGCTTAGTCTTTGAATATTAATATGAATCTAGTCAAAGTTCTTAGTTAATAGGTTTATCTAAGTATATCTGCAAGAATATATAAATATTTGATTAAAAATTAAAAAAAAGAGTTAAAATTATTATTGTTAAGACTTAGAAAAAGACAAAGTAAACTTTTATAAATAAAATATTTTACATATATATATAATATATACGAAAATTGTGTTAAAAGTATTAGTATTAAAAATAGTAAGTTTGTATTTATATTTTTAACATAAATATTTAAAAAGATTAATGAATACGAAAGTCTTATTTTTATTTTGAATATTAATATTTTTACTTGTATTTCTATTTTTAATATTAATATTTTAATAGAATTAATTAATTAAAAGAGTTATTTTTTTTAAATTTTTTTTTCAACACTATTATTTTTTACTAAGATAAAAAAATAGAAAATTATGAAAGTATATATTTTTTAAAAGTATTTATTTTTTAACAGTTTGTTTTTGCTTAAATTGATTTGTTTTTTTTTTTAACATTTCGCTTCAATTTTTAAATAAATATTTCTATAATTATATATCTCTTTTTATTTATATATTTTCTATGTTTATATATCTATACGTAATATCTCTGTACCAGCTTATCATAGTTTGTTTCACACTCTAGCTGCTGCCTGAGTTTTCAGCTCGTGCAGCTGATTTATTGAATATATTCAGCCTTGGTTAATCACAATAGTGTTTCGACTAAGAGTTTTTATAAAAGACTTTGACTTAGGAAAAAAGTATTTTAAATGAAATAAATAATTTGTAAAGAATGTTTGTCTCTGTACCAATGCGCATCTGAATCTAAGTCCCAAAAAAGAATTATGAAATATAATTATAGCTTAGAACTTGGACTAAGACTTGATCGTACAATTCTCTTCATTAATTCTTATACGATTATAATAAATGCTCAATTATTATTCAATATTTGAGCATTTGATGGAAAAAAAAACTTTGGTCTATACATATCGTTATGTAGTTCATATAAAAATCAATCATTATCAAGTCATCCGCCCAAAACAGATTTTGTCAAATAATAATAAAAATAATAGAAAGTAAAAAAATGCAATTTAACTTGTGAGTTATTGAGCTCATGGCTGACTCAAAATAAAACTTGGACATGAAAGTTTCTTAATAAGGTTTAGAGGCTCCATAAGCTTCAGCTCGAAGCTCATTGGCTATAGTCTATACTATTTTATATGGTACCAGAGCCAGAGCTCAAGCTCAAGCTCATTAAAGCTTCCTCCCTTGCCTTAGGGCCTGATAAAAGCAGCATCTGTACTGCGACCTGGCACAGTCGAAAAGTTGAATTACTGAAAATACTTTGAGCGCGAATAACTATATAAACAAAGGCTGGCAATTAGCGTGAAACTTCTTTAAATGCTCGAGTCGCAAGCAATAAAATAAAATTGCGATTGACATTATTTTCTTTTGTTTTTGTTTTGGTTTTTATTTATATAGTTGTTGTTGTTGTTTTCTTTTTGATGTTTGGGTTGGCGTGACAGAAAAACGATTATTTGTGCCAAACGCTAATTGATTTTAGAATTCATTCGTGAAGCGGCTGCCGACTAAACCAAACAAAAAAAAACACGTCTCATTAAGCGACAATTGATGTTGGAGCGTGCGACGCCTTTGGCGACCTGTCATGGGTCATTGGCGGCGACTCCAACAGCAAACGGCGACGGAATGCCATTGCAATTGCAACGCGCTAGGCTGGCAACACTTGCAACATGCGGCAATTAATTGCAAGATTTGCTGTGAGGCGCCTGTTGCCTTGTCCTACAACCCTACACCCACCACCCCCCTGCCTGCCCCACTCTGCTCACTCTCTCTCCCTTCCTCTGCCTCTCTGTGTGCAAAGGGCCGACGCATTGCGTTAAATTTAGCTGGCAACTCAATCAACAGCCGCTGGCTCTGACGACTTTTATAATTGGATTGCCGCTATTCTTGCTGTTCATTATACTCGCCCGATCCAATTTGTCGTGCATATATACACATATATCCTCAGTGCTCCTCGGTGCCATTAGCTTGCGCCTGCGCGACCTTCTCCAGCGCCAGCGCCCGAGCCGTTTGATGTCGCACTTTAAATCATATAAATCATATTCTATATATATATCTGATTATGATATTTGCTAGCCTATATCAGAGCTGTTGACTTATATTTCCAGCTTCCACACACACGTATACATATAAAAATCTGATTTGATTTATGTGCGCAACTTTTTCGCTCATTTGTCTTTGCATCGCATCGCACCTGCAAAAATATTATCAAAAATACCTTAATAAATCACAAATTGTTTTTATTTGATTTATACAGAAATTCTATAGATTTTATAGATTTTTAACGTACAATTTGAATTTATATTTAATTTGTTTCCTTTTTTTTTTGTGTTTTTCCTTTTTGATTTTTAATTAAGTCTTTAAATTTATATAAATAAATTGTTAAAAATAACAAAATCAGGAAAATTTTAATTTTAAACATAGCTCGTAGACGGATTTTATGTTTGCTTAACAAAAAAAGGACAAAATACTATAAAGTAAAAAAGGAAAATCTCACATATAAAGCATCAGTTCTTAAGCAATACAAAGAGGTTTTATATAAAATGTAGTCTATCTAAAGTAAACTGCTAATTCGCTTTCATTGCCTCACTTGCAGCTTGCATACAGACGGCGGGCAAGGATCGCACCTCGTACAAGCCGCTGGAACAGATCGATGCTAAGCTGGCGGACATTGATGCGCAGAGCACAGGCAGCAATAGCACCAGCAGCAACAGCAGCAGCAGCAGCAGCCACTCAACTGGCGCTGCCAATTGCCAGGAGCAGAGTGTGACGGACTATGCTGCTGGCAACAGCGGCAGCAGCAGCAGCAACAACAATGAAGCAGCGACGGCAACGGCGACGGCAACAGCAACTGCAGCAGCAACGGCAACGGCCAACAAAAAGTATAAAAACAGCCACAAAAAAGACAACAACAGCAGCAGCGGCGGCACAGCCAGCAGCAACACGTCAAACATCAGCAACAAAAACAACAGCAACAGCAACAATAACAAAGGTGTAAGTACTTAACTAAGCTTAGCTGATAGATGTATATAAATATAAATATATATATTTATATATATTATATATATATAAATATAGAATATATTTAAAGCAAAAAGTAAACGAGTCGCAAGCAAAATGCCATCAGTCAAGCGGTTGTCAAAGTACCATGCTCGTGTCAAAGTTCCTGTTAGTTGGCAAATGCAAATGCAATTGCTATGAACATTTGTTGTCGACAACATGTTGAAATCCTGTTTCTAATTTGAAATAAAACAAAAGAAATCATATTTGCTACCGATCGTTGACAATTTTCAGTCCAAGTTCAAAAGTACTTGACGGCTGCACCAATTGTCTAGTCAAATTTGACAAGCACTTGCATTGTCTAAAATGCAAATTTGATAGCCCATAAATATTTGCTGCACATTCAAAATGCATATGAAAAGTAGGCGTTATATATATATATATATATATATATATATATATATATATATATATATATATATATATATATATATATATATATATATATATATATAGGAATATATAGAACTATCAAAAGTTCTACTATTTTGGGTATTTAATTAGATTAATTAATAATTAAGCAGCAGAAAGATTAATTTTAAGATTAATTTTTTTTTTCTTTTTTTCGAGATCTGTGTGATTAGAATGATTCTAAAAACATATTTTTAGTTTATAAAGTTATCTCAAGTAAAGGTTATCGGATACAATTGTCTAAATTTTAGGGTTTTTAAACAGTTGATCAACTTTTACTACATAAGATACATATATATATATATATATATATATATATATATATATATATATATATATATATATATGTACAAAAAGCCAAGTCAGTCAGAAGAGCGAACAGACTGAAAAGACTATACTAAGACACCTCTTTGCCTATATCAGGAACATATATACATATATAAGGATCTGACCTATTTGTCTGTATTAACCCAAAACATACTCTAAATAACCTTGAAAAACTATTAACTCTATATTTCATATTTCATATTTCATAGCCAAAATGTGGTTCGTATAGAAGCATTATAGCATTATACCTTGCATTAGCTTATCAATCATAAGTTGAAGACGTTAGAAGTTAGAGACTAAGGCGATTCGGATCATGAATAAATGAACTGTAGAAAGGGGTCAGGGTATCTCCTAGTCTATCACTTCCAGCTAGAGCACTCTCACTGCTATCATATGCTGCTTGCTAATATATATGTTTTTATACATTAAGCCTATGAATATATGTTTTCTGCACCTTCTATAACTTAACATCCCAATGCTAACACCTATAATCTGACCTTTGTTCAGGAGCCGGAGCCAGTGCATCCGTCGCTGGCGCAGGCGATTGTTGTGTTGGAGACAAAGGCGCTGTGGGATCAGTTCCATGCGCAGGGCACCGAGATGATCATCACGAAGACGGGCCGCCGCATGTTTCCCACGTTTCAGGTGCGAATCGGCGGCCTCGATCCGCATGCCACCTACATCTGCATGATGGACTTCGTGCCAATGGACGATAAACGTTATCGCTACGCGTTTCACAAGTAACTATTGAGTGAACCGAGTGCCGCCTCGTTCAATCTCACCTCATCTCATCTGATCTCGTCTGTGTCTTCTGCAGCTCGTGCTGGGTGGTCGCTGGCAAAGCGGATGCCATATCGCCGCCGAGAATTCACGTGCATCCAGACTCACCGGCGGCGGGCGCCAATTGGATGAAGCAAATTGTGTCCTTCGACAAGCTGAAGCTGACCAACAATCAGCTGGATGAGAACGGTCATGTGAGTATGGGCATTTGATAGGGTCATAAATTCATGCTTGGCTTTGTTTATGCGGGGCATAAAACATTTGGTTGCTGCCACCGCACCGAACAACAACAACCAATGATTATTATTATTTGTTGTTGTTGTTGTTGTGTTTGGAAAGCGCCAAACAAAAGCTGGCAGCCGCCATCCGAAAGCACTCTGCCTTCATGCAACATATGTCGTGCTCTCTGGGCCCTCGCTCACGCTGTCTCTTCATGGCAAACCACAATTACCATTCCACAGATCATATTGAACTCGATGCATCGCTACCAGCCGCGCTTCCACTTGGTCTATTTGCCGCCAAAGAATGCCTCGCTGGATGAGAATGAGCATTCGAGTCACTTTCGCACATTCATATTCCCGGAGACCAGTTTTACGGCCGTAACAGCATATCAGAACCAGCGCGTGAGTATGAGGCGATGGGCATTGCCAAAGGCATGGGAACGGGGTGTTTGAGAGGGGTGCGGGCCCCACTTGACCCACTTGTCAGCGTACCCACTTGTAAATGACAAGCGCCAACGCTTTTCAGTTTTTAGTCAAATTAACATTTGTGTAACATTTGTGGTCGACAAGAATTTTGATCCTCCTGCCACCCCCAGCTACGCCCAGCTCCTCCAGCTTCCCTTGCATATAGATAATACTTCTGCCAATTTGGCCTCGATTGTTAAATGTTTTTAATTTCTTGTTTTCTTTATGCTTATTAAAGTTACAAATTCGATTCTAACTCAAAGCAAATATTCCACATTTCGCATGACTAACGACCGACAGATACACTATAATTAAACAAAAATGTATCTATAAAAAATAAAATTAACAAATTGCTTTTTGTTTAGTATCTAAACAGCCTTATTTATAGCGCATGTTAATTATAAATAAATTTACTAACAAATTTCAAATATTTGTATGAATTCCATTGAAAATTTTACAGACGTGTCTATATAAAATAAAAAAAAGAATTTTAATATGAACTTTATTTAAATTTACATTGGAATTTTATTAATATAAAAAACTTTTTTAATATAGAATAAATTATAAACAAATATTTTTATTAATTTAAAAAATATATAATTTCAACCATACAATTAAATTTAAAAAACGTAATAATTTAATGATAAATTTTAATAACAATTTTTTTATTTAATAAAAATTATATCTATAAATTTATCAAAATATATATTTTTAAATAATATGAATACAGAAATAATTATTATTATTTAAAAGAAAAAATATTAATTTCCAAAATTGTAAAAAAAAGCAGTTTAAATTATTTTAAAAATATTAATTTCAATGATACCTAAAATTTATTTAAAAAATTATAATTTTAATGATAACTTAAAAAATATATAAAAAAATATAAATATAAATCAAAAGAAAAGAAATGCAAATAAATAATAATAATTTTGTTTCAGTAAAAAATAAAAGAAAATAAGCTACAATTTTTATTTAGTAAAGAAAATATTGATATAAATTTAAATAACAAAATAAAATTATTTTTATTTTAATTTAAAATTAAGTTTTAGTTCAAGAAAATATATTCAAGTTAAATTAAATTTAGTCAAACTGCATCACATAGCTTAAACACGCCATTTAGCTAGAGAGCAAAAATTCATATTCATAATTCTCCAAGAACTAAAATAAGGAAAAGAAAAAACACATATATTTATATATATATATATATATATATATATATATATATATATATATGTGTGTGTATGTGTGTTTAAAAATATTTGTGGTATTTTATTTTTAGCGCCATTTTAACGAAAGTATTTAAATTATTTATGCGCTCGACGTGGGTGTTAACACTTTTCGTTCCACAATTTATTGCAAATAAATTTTGTGTTTGTTGTCGTTGTTGTTGTTGTTGTCGTTGCTTATGTAGTTTGCTGTTTGCGTTTAATGCTTTGTAAACATTTTCTAATTTGTTGCATTTATATTGTAATAAAAACAACAGCGGCGCAATGAATATTATTAACATAATTGGGGCCAAAACAATTCTTGAAGAATTTTTAACAATTAACAATTTTTATATAATATTATAAATATTTCTGTGCGCAGGTGACACAACTGAAAATATCGAGCAATCCATTTGCCAAAGGATTTCGAGATGATGGCACCAACGATGTGTAAGTAGGCCAATATATGTATCTCTTTATCTATAAGTCTGACAGAGCTTACCTAATATATATTTGTATATATATTTAATATGGTAAACGATACAAAAAAACAAGCAAATCTTGTTTGAGCCTCGACAAAATACGACAAAAACTTAAGCCTTAGGCATTATTTATATAAAAGAAACATCAAAATGCAGCTAGACGACGCACGAATACCCTGCAAAGTAGTGAGCATATGCAAAAGATATATTCGTATAATATATATTTACATGAAATCCAATGTTGTATATAGCTTAGTCTGTTTTTTTTGTATCTGAAGCTTAATAGAGGGTTGCAGTATAATTTGTTATGAAGTTGACCCACTTAGAGGCAATGCCCAAATTTATTGTTAAACACAATTCAAATCCAAGTGGCCCGCCAGACAGTCCGTCGACTGGCTGATGCTACTGCTGCTGCCGCTGAAGTCATTCCGGGAATTGCCGACGCGTCGCATCTACAAAAATAAAACACACACATGAAACAATAACTCAAAATGGGTGCGAGAACTTCAACTTAGAATGTGGAGCATAAGCATCTCCGGCTGGCAATGATGGGCCAGCTGACAGACGTGCCAGCCAGCCAGCCAGCCGTGGCGCTGCTATAAACAAATTATTTTTTTCTTTCGCCTTTTTCATATTTCGGCCGAGGGTCGATTGTAAACAAAAAAAAAAAACAAGAAAAAAAACATAAAGAGCAAAGCGTTTTCGAATGTTTATCAAAAATTTGAAATTTTGAATTTGAAATTTTAATTGCAGCACCAGCGGCAGCCTGGGCATGTCCAGCATGAGCCATGAGAGTCAAGCGCGCATGAAGCAGCAGCAACAGCAACAGCAGCAGCAGCAACAGCAGCAGCAACAACAGCAGCAACTGCAACTGCAGCAGCAGCATTTAAAGTCAAAGGATCGAACGCCGCCAAACAGCTTCAGCTTGTCCTGCACCGAGCTTGTGGAACAGCAAACAGCAGCGGCAGCAGCAGCTGCAGCCGCAGCAGCAACAACCACTCAATTGGGCATGCAACTGCCAGCCACGCCCTCAAGCAGCTCAACATCGGGAAACTCACCGGACTTGTTGGCGTTTCAGTTGGAGGCGACGCCATTGCAGCAACAGCAACAACAACAGCAACAGCAGCAGCAACAGCATTTGCATCAGCAACAATTGCAGCCAGCGTCGCAGCACTTACATCAGCAGCAGCAGCAACAACAGCATCAACAGCAACAACAACAACATCAGCAGCAGCATCAGCAGCAGCAACAGCAGAGCCTTCATCAAATGTCCAGCAGCTATGGCGGCAGCTATCATCATCCCTATCAGCATCATCAGCATCAGCATACGGCAACTCCATTGACGCCGCTTTCAGCCAGTTCGGCATCGCCGCCAGCACCTGGTGCTGCTGCCGCAGCTGCAGCCACACAGGTGATGGCAGCGGCCAATATATACTCGTCCATTGGACAGCCGTATGCGGGGGAACAGAGTAACTTTGGGGCCATCTATCATCACAATGCGGCGCACTATCATAGCCACGGCTATGGTAGTCCGTACGACAAGCTCAAGGTCTCGCCGGGTCACATGCGCCAGGCGGCAGCCGCAGCATACGGCATGAGCAGCTATCAGAGCTTCTACGGCAGCGCAGCGGCCGCCCATCAAATGATGCGGCCCAACAGCTACATCGACTTGGGGCCACGCTGATAGGCGTTGGGTCGCACTATGTCAAGTATTATACATATAGTCAGCCCGGGGCCTGCACTCAAGTATTACAAGTATTTTCAACTAATCCAAAACTCAAACTCAAAACTCAACTAAACACAATTAATTATTATTATTATTTAATATAATTATCACTCACTTTTTTTTGTTAGTATTAAGCGACAGTTTTGTGTCTAGTTCAAGAATATGCCAAAAATGTATCGTAATTGTAAACAAATTCTAGCATGTAACAACTTTTTTTTTACAAATCTTTCATACCAAATGCGTTCGCATTGTCTTTAAATTGTTATTAAACTGTAATATTGTGTAAGTTTGCTTAGTGTTCTACTTCATTCGTCTCTCTGTATCTCTCACTCTCTATTTGTCTTTCTCATTTCCTTATTGTTCTATGTACATACAAACATTTAAATGCTGCAAACAGTTTCAACAATAAAAGCCAAATCTAAATTAACAAGAAAGCAAAAACGAATATTTTCTTAGCTAACGGTTAAATGCGCGAGCCAACAAAATGGCCGCCAATATGCAGCAATTGGTGCTTCTATCCTTTGTTTACGTTCACTCTCTCGCCATCTCTCACCCTCTCTCTCTCACACTCATGGTTTCTCGCACGAGCCGTTTCGCTCGTGTGTAAACAAAAAGTGCCATTGTTTTAATTACAGTTAACCAACGAAAGAGTGTGTACACACTTACACACAGGCACACCTTACCCATTGAGCCTTGCAATGCGTGCGTGCGTGTGCAACAGCATTGAAATCAATTTGGTTTTTTTTGTTGCTATCGCCCCACCTCCACAGACAAGCGCACACACTCATGCTGACATGCACGAGTACAGCTGATTTTCCCCTAATTCGATAAACTGACAGATAAAAGTCAATAGTTCGTCATAGCTAAACAATTTGCAAGCAAGTGTCTAACACCTGCATATTTTACCTAAGCTTATCTATGCTTCAAATATTTCTTTCAAAGTATTTTTATATACAAAAAAATTGTTTGTCATAGACTCGTTTCATTGCTTCAATCCCTTCTAATTTCTATGAAAGTCAACTCGAACAATTGATTTTTGTTTAACATAACTTGGAAAGTACAAGAGCTAGATGTATCAAATTTGGTATATAGGTTTTCATAAAGTATATACATATTATATATATACATTTTTTCGATATTCAAACTGAATCAAAAAGTGATTTTAGAAACTGGAGAAGCATAATTGATCTATTCAAATAGCGCCAATCATGCAGCTTTATAGGCTTACCTATTTATAGTATAGTTTCGCTATATGATTAATAAATTCGTGAAAAATATATTAGTCAAGAATACAATACTGACCACACCTGAAAATGGCATAAATACATAGCCATATCTGGGTACAGTCATACGAACTAATCTAATCAATGAATTGTTAGCTCGATTATCGAATGCCAACAACAGTATTTGTGTGGAATCACGGATATGGTGGGGACTATGTACGAGGGCTACAACTATATGGATTCATTATAACATATATTTATATATATATATTCTATATTCTATGTACTATGTACTATGTGTGGCGAGGCACCCTTCGGCGTTGAAGCATGCTCCATGTGGTGCCGTTATCATTAGTAACGGCACAATATGTGACGTTTGTATGTCGGACTACAGATGCAGATACAAATACACATATATATGTGTGTATATGTAGGTGTGTTACCTATATAAACTGAGATTAGAACTACGCCTCGTTCATCTATGCGATTTCACACGTTGTCATAGCTGCGTCTAGCAAGCAAACAGACAAAATCTACCAAGTGACAAGACGTCAAAACGCGACATTCATTAGTCACAATGCAAAGCCATAAAAAAACAGAATTGGATATATGTATATATATATAGAAATAGCTAAAAAGTGACGTATAGTCTGTGGGTAGCAACCTGGTAACGGGAGATTGATTATTTAGCGCTATTGAACTTTGGCCGTGTCAAACATCCTAAATGTTCCGGGCAATTTCGAATGGATGATCATCAAAGAGCTGTCACACGTACGTCATACTCACACGGGGTCCGTTTATCCAAGTTTTTCGCAGCGTCTAAAATTTAATACCGCCATTCGCTGCTGCTGCTGCTGCGGCTGTTGTTGTTGGCTCCATAAATAAAAGCAAATTGGCATGCATTTGGGCATTCAGTTGAGACACGAACTCGAACTGCGAGCACATTAATTTCTCAACACTTGCATAAAAATTCATAAAAGCAAAAAAAAACAATAACACAAAAAAAACAAAAAGAAGAAGAAGCAGCAGAGGCTGATTAAAGCAGATGTATCGCTGAGGGGCAGTATAGCAACTGAAACGTGTGGACTAGAGCTGAGGGTATTACGTATAACAACTGCATCTAGAACATGGACTCGACTCTAGTCCACACAACAACTGAGTCTTTCAAGCTGCTATTTGCTAAGCTCTGAAATTCTATGTATGAATGAGGCATGAAATTTATTAAAATTTATCATAATTTTTTTAAATCTGTATATCGTTTGTTGCTTATGCTAATTCAAGTTTGCTATCGATCTCAATTGATTTCAAGCCATTTGCAACAAGTTATCAATCATTTGAGATAAAGCTTCTGCCAAATATATTAAAAACTATATATTAAAAAAATTTGAAAAAATATATATATTAAAAAATTTTTAAAATATATATTATTATTGCTAGGTTTTTTTGAAAGCCTTTTTTTAAATTGTTTAAAAATATTTAATGAATTAATACAGAGCCGAAATTTAATTTATGTTAAAAAGAGTAAAATAGAGTAGCAGAGAAAAAAAATTGTAGAATTTATAGTCGAATTATATAGAAAATATACAACATTAACGCAGGCCCTGAAGCGTGCGACGTGTCGCTAATAGAAACGTTATAGAAGCAATGCAGAGCTTATCAAAAATATGATTACATAATTGTAATATATATATACATAATAGCTTAAAGTTAGCAACAAGTTAAGAGGTGAAAAATAAACAGAAATTTAGTTAAAGCAAATAATATTAATTAATATAAATATAACATAAATATATACATATATGTATGTGTCTTATCTTATGTAGTCATAAATAGATAAAAGAAACTTTTAGCAACTTTTAAAGAGTCAGTAAAATGTCTTAAGATCAGTCATGAAATTGTGGTTAAAATGTTTTTCCTCTTCTTGATTTCCTCATTGTGCTTGTGAGTGGACTACTCTGTTGTGGGCACCTGCCCGTATGCATCACCTGATGAGTAATTAGAGAGCTGTGGAATGTGATTCATGACGGCAAATGTGACGCAACGGGACACCGATTTCCACATCGAACTGCATGAGAAAGTTGTATATATATATCAGCTCAGATAAGACTATATGCTCTATACATGGCCTAAGCTTAGCGCTGCCTCAACCATGTGGCTTCAGTCGGCGGTAAAGCTGCTAATCAAGGCGGGCGGGCGGGCGGTCGTCTTTACTTTACTTTTTACGAATGGTTGATAAGCCTTATCAGCGCATGACGTTGAAGTCAGCTGTATCATGTATTGGCCTAGGATTGCAAGGCCAAGTCCGATATGACGACGATGATGATGATAATGGAGTGGACAGACGCCAGGCACTTAAGCTGGCTCTGCCCAGACCCTTTGAAAGATGACTTCGGGATGCCACTGTAAAATGAATATCGGCATTCAATATTTGAATATTTATGGCCGACGTGCACTGCGGTAGGTCGCACAACAACACACACATGTGTGTGGGTGTGTGTGTGTGTCTGAGTGTGTGTGACACTGTTGTAGGTGTGCGGTGTGTCGCCTGGTCGATCGATATTTGCGTTCGTTCGTACGCTCGCTCGTCTGTTGGTGTCAAATGGCTGCAAGGTTTTCAAGTGGCAACAACAACAGCAACTGCAACAATAACAACAACTGCAACTGCAACTGCGACTGCGACTGCGACTGCGACTGTGTCTGTTATTCTTATCAACTTTGCTCTGTTGCTATGAGCAAACGTTGCTGCTGCCGTTGTTGTTGTTGTTGTTGTTGCTGTTGCTGCCGTTGTTGTTGCTACATTTTCCGCACAAGTTCAAGGCGCGTCCATAGCTAATCGCTTTGAAAGTGAAACCGTGTTTATATTTTGCTTTAATTTTTTTTCCCGCCGCTTTTCCATTGACACTTGAACCTTTGTTTATGCGCGCCTCGCGTCTGTTTGGTATTCCACGTTGCTCATGTCTCCTCGCTTCTATCTGATCCTAAATACTCTGCAGCAGATGTGCTCCAGTTTACGCAAAGACCTGACTTGAAGCCAGCTAACCTTGGCACAAGTGGGTTCAGGGTTCGAGTTGAGTTGCCTTTGACTTGGGTTTTCGTTAAGACTCAAGACTTGATTTCATTAAGCTATTTCAATGATTGTGTATTCTTATAGAGAAGCTGTTAGATATATAGCCAAAACTTTACTTATACCCGTTCACTGAGTCAAAGGAGTGTATTGGTTTATGTCTCTTTTCCTATAAAGTGTTAGAAGGCGTGACTAAGCGGGAAATGCTTTATCTGGCTTAACAGCAACTTGAGATTTGGCATAGTTATAGTAGATATATAAATATGATATATATAGTAGATATATTTACGCCTATTGAAGACATGCTAAATCTTTCAGTGCTCTAAAGCTTCTCTACAGATTGTCAAAAAAACATTATATTTTGATGTTTAGAGCTCCAAAATGTCTGAACTTACTGCAGACTCTAACTACAGATTTACCAAAAATTATTTAAATATTTTGGAATCGCGACATGCTTAGCTGTCTTTTTTAACGTCTTAAAAATCTAGAAATAAATTCTTTATATAAAGGTCTAGCTATATATGAGTAGTTAACACCAAAAAAAAAAATTTTATATTAATTTTCATATTAAGCAAATTGCATTAAAGAAGTTTTTTTTTATTATTTTATTTTTTTCTGCAGCTAAATAATATCAAATTTACTATCAGTAACAATTATTGTTAGGCAGGGCTCAGTAGAAGATTTTCCCCTACGATTGAGCAGGGTATGCTCTAGTCGCTTGAACTAAGTTGTATATACATATATATATATATACATATATATACATATATATATATATATATATATATATATATATATAGATTTATATGAAGTGCTGCAATCCTTTTTTTGTGGCTACCTTTTCCGGGCATTTGGGGCGCACGCATGCGCGACTCTCGAGTGGATATTGACATATTGCTGACACGCCCACAAACAAATCTGTGCAGCATGCCCACATGACAAGCCCCTGCTCCAGGCGGCTCGACTGCCATGCCAGACGCACGTGCCCGCAGAGAGGCGACGACGACGATTCGAGTGTAATAAAAAAAAAGGAAAACACAGCTCAACGGGAGGAGCTGGGGAGGGGCGAGCAGCCAGATGGAGAACGGGCGCTGGCAGTAGAACAAAGCTGACTGGCAACAAAGTAGTTGTTGCGTTTATGAGCCGTGAAAATGATGAAATAAAAGCGAAAAGTGCATCGACTGCGAGCGGCTGGTGGGCAAATATGTATTTGCAAATTATATTTTGATGGCTGTCGCGGCGAGCTAATTAATATTACACAATATTGCAACGGGCCATCAATTAACGTGGCATGCTGCAGCCGCAGTCGCAGTCGTTGCAGTGGCAGTTGCTTTGAGCGTCGCTCGTTGATTCAACGGAAATTGAGCGAGTAATTCAAGCAAATGTTGCTCGGAAATGTCGTGCCATAAAAATCGGCTTGCCACAGCGTGTTGAAAAGTGTCTCCTCAGCTTCTTAGGCCCGTTGCCCAAGCTGCCATCCTGCCGGCGCGCACTTACCAAAATTAATGCGATCGATGACAACGCCTCTGCCGCTGCAACAATAAAAGGCAAAGGCCCAAAAATAGCTAGCATACATACGTACATACCATGCCATGCATACGTACATACATCCATAGAGCATCTAGAGCATTATGCTGCCTGCCGAAAAGGGACAAAGCAGCCAGTGAAATTATGACACGATGTTTTCTTCTGCTGCACAATTATTGCCAACTGTTAACAGATTTGTTGGCCATGCCGACAAACTGCAAAAGGGGAGCAGCAGCAGCAGCAGCAGCAGCAGCATCCTCTATGTCTGCTGCAGCATTTGTTTGATAATGATAATGGCATGTTGATGTCGATGGCATTTTCCATTGGAAAATTGAGTCATTTTCAGTGGAATTATTGCCATTCTTATTGTGAAAAGATCGAGCAAATCGAAAACACAAGTTAAGCATTATATAAATTATAATGCAGATACCAACAGGCAAAGCAGAAGGAGCTGAGTTGGAGATGCTGTAGCAGCTAGCCAGATACTATAGCCAGAGTTTATGCAGATGAGCTGAAGCTAACTAAAACCATGTAGATAGCTACAGCTGATGATCGAGAGCTATTAGAGAGCTGTGGATCTACTTCAGACCACAGCTAATCATATAATCAAGCCTTCGTAAGACATTTGCTTGAAAATATATATGTATGTAGTTCTTAATTCTGATTCTGATTCTGATGAGTAAGCTTAAGAATAAATATTTGCTTAGCTAAGTAACAGTTAAGCTCATTCACAAGACATACATCAATTCCTGATGTATAATGTGACCCTTATAGGCATCAATTTAGACTGAGATCAGATCAGCTTACATCCGATTACATTAGGTGACATCAAATAAGTCTAGATCGGATCAGCTTGCATCAGAGTACATCAAATCAGGCTAAAATAACTCCACTTACATCAGGTATGATTACATCGGATTACATCAAATTACTCTACGTCAAATCAGCTTACATCGATTGAGATTTACATCAATCAGTCTCCATTTACATCAGATATGATTACATCGGATTACATCAAATCAGTCTACATCAAATCAGCTTACATCGATTCAGACGTACATTAAATCAGTCTAAAATAGATAGACAACAGATCAATCAGCCTACATCTATTTAGCCTGCATCAACTTACATCAACTTAGCTTACATCAGATTACATCAAATCAGTCTGCAACTGAAACATATAAAATCAGTTTCAAGGACTAAATTTTGCCGTTTTACAGGCATTAAGAAAAGTTTAATTTGCTGCTGGCCTTGCGAAGCGTTAACAAAGTTTTTATTTAAAACGAATACGAAGTAAAATTGGAGTTTAACAAAAATATACGAATCGCAAAAGTCTCAACGGGAACAGCCTCAACAGTTCCATCCCCATCAAACTGTCAGTCTGAACTTGTAAGAGGTGTTAATTGGTAGCTAAGCTTAATCGTAATCCAAACGCTGCACACCCTGTAGACGCAAATTGGGCCACGAAGCCACCTGGAAATTAGTTGGAGTGTATCTTGATCTTAGCCTTGGTCTTGGTCGTAGTTCCTCGTCATCGAAGTCATCATTGAAATCAGCAATCATGCGTGCGATCGGAGACAGCCTCTCGCCATTCCAAAAGTTGACGACATGACGACAGTTGGGGCAGTTATTGTTACGTTCGAGCCACTTGCGCAAGCAAATCTTGTGGAACCAGTGACTGCATGGCAGTCGATAGACAGCAGACAAGCCGCCATCCTTGGTGGTTTCCAAGCAGATTGTGCAAGTGGTAGTGTATGGTAGACGGCGAAAGTCCCATTCTAGCATTTTGTAAGCCATATATCCTTTGAAACGGTACAGCGACATAGCGACAATCAATATGGCCGGAATGAAAATTGCAACAAATAGAAACATAATAAGAATATCGTCAAGGTACTCCATAGTGTAGCTGTCTTGATATTTTCCGTTTTCTTATATTGATACTGCTCTATTGAGTAGGAGATTGAATTGTAAATTTGCAATGCAAACTGATTCCTACTAGGCTATTATAATTTCTGTGTTGCTATGATTAGTTACATATTTTCAACAATTTTAAATATAAAAAAAACGTTACTAAAACGTATATGATAGAGGGAATGCCCATAATATTTTACATGGGTATCGATATTTAAAAAGAAGGTGCGATAGTTTTGCAGCAGTATGGCAACCCTCTGGTTGTTATCAAACAGATGTTTTTCCGCTGACAAAACATCGATAATTAAATATCGATAGTATGGAATGTACCGTCGTAATTTATAATACGACTTAATTGACAAACACAAAACTTAGCTTAAGTCTTAAAAAAGTAGTTTGCTAAGCTGTATATTTTGGAAGCCTTTAAGTCCTTACCATATTTAAATTTTGGAAATTTAACAAAGTATTCAATCGATACATCGTTTGCAGGCAAAATGGAAAACCATCGATATACTCGATGAAACCATTTCTAATTTGGCAGCTTTAGTTAGTTTGTTTAATACGTGCTTCCTTTTTTAATTAAAGCCGTGTACTAACAATATTGTGTACTGTGTTCGGTACAATGACTGATACACCGAAAACACCCAACACTCCTGGCAGTCGGGCCATGGAAGTTGCCAAAGTGCAGGACCGTGAACTAGCGCAATTTAAAATGCCATTGCCAAGCAGTGGGGACGGACGCAAACATAAGCCAAAGATCCTGACGGAGGAGCGCTACATTGAGGAGATGTCCAAGATTATACAGCGTGATTTCTTCCCTGACTTGGAACGGCTGCGAGCACAAAACGACTACCTCGATGCAGAGTCGCGTCGCGATTTCCTGCAAATGGCTGAAATACGTGCGCGTTACAGTTTGGGTCGTGCCTCCGGCACTGGTAACAGACGCAATAGCCGCAACAATGGTAAGTTGTTACGATTTTTGGCGAAGAAGTTCGTTAACAAATTACTTTACTGCATTGCAGCGATGTCACCAGCAACATTTGAGACGCCATTGAGTACAGCTAACGCAGGTTCAACTCCGCTTCCAAACACACCGCACTCCACCGCCAGCAGCCAAAAGAGCAGTGCCAGTAAAAACAGTGCTGAAGGTGGCTGCCAGGATGCCATTGGGCGTAAAATGTCGCTGGACAGCTTTCTACATAACTACACAAGCGAGGACAATCAAAGCTTTCAGGAAATCATCGAGACAGCCGAGATGAAACTGCGCCAGAAGTATGCAGTTCTCTACAATCATGAGCAGCTGTCCACTGAGCAGCTGCAGCGAGCGTTACTGCTGCCCAGCCTTGAGCAGCAATTCGATACACCCGATCCACTGCGCAAAATTGAGACCTGGAAGTACACCAATAAGAACTCTGTTATGTACGTGCCGGATGGCGTCGAAATGTCCGAGCAAGAAAATGTTAAGCACCAAGAACGCAAACCCACTATTCGACACGATGCTACAAGACTGCCAACAACGTGCGATACGGAGACGCAAGCCAGCCATCCAGACGCCAATGCCAACCGGAACGCAACTGGCGAAGAGGCCAGCACAAGCACGCCTCGAATTCGGGGATTTGATTTGTTGCGTTCACCGTCGCCACGACCCGGCAAAGCGTTCTCTCCGATCATGACCTGGGGCGAGATTGATGGCACGCCCTTTCGTCTCGATGGCGGCGACACGCCGCTGCGCAACATGCCTGGACCCTCGTTTCACATCAATGAGAACTCACGCAGGGAGAACATTGCCATTGCGCTCGCCGAAAAGGTTAGCGAAAAGATGCGCAACCAGAAGCAGCAGGCTCTCAACACAGCTCGTCGCAACATCGGATCACCTTTCGTACGCTCCAGCATAGAGCGTTTAGCGAGCATGTCGCCAGCCGCTCGACGCCTTGCCACTGGCAAGCTGGGGCTACGCAATCACACTCCGCTGCTGACGCCTTCGCCAGCGACGCGCAAGCGCAAGGCGCCCAGTGTGGTGCGCACAATGCCACCAATGACTAACAGCAAACATATTCCTGGCAAGGGTACGCCCAGCAACGCTCCCACGCCCATAGATACGGGCTCCACTCTCACAGATGACCTGCTCAAAATTCCAGCGAAAAGACGCAGCGCTGCAGCAGATTTCTTTTGAATTATTCGAATTGTTTCATTAACGAGCTTTTTTTATTGGTATTTAGTTGACATAGCGTAATATAATTTCAATGAACCAGATTAACATGCATTTGTATTTATATTTATATTGGTATTATATTTATATTTATATATGTATGTGTTTAGATATTTGTCCTCCTAATCCCGGTAGTCCACATGATCCCCCGACTTAAACTTCTTTGACTGCAGCACCTGCACGAATTTGAGCACTGTTTGCTGTGGTGTTAGCATTGTCTTAGATTCGCGCTGTTCCTTGAATGCGGCCGCCAAGCCCGGATCATGCGACTCCCTTTGCACCTGAAGGGTCATCTGGGTATCGATGACGCCGGGCGCATAGTTGAGCACCAAAGTCTTGGCCGAGGACTCCTCCAGTGCCAGCACACGGAAGTACATCTCACGTGCGGCCTTAACCGTACAATAGTATGCCATTGAGGGGAATGGCTCCAGAGCTGCCAATGTACTGAGATTCACCACCAATTTGGGAATGGCGGCAAAGATGCGCATAAATTCAGCGTTCAATGCCAGAGTCGAGAACAAATTGATGTGATAATACTGCTCCAGTACCTTGGTGTCGCCCATCTCTCGGGCATGCTGCGACGTGTCGCCCAATGTGCCCGCATTGTGCACCACAATGGCACGCTCAAACTCCTTGCAATCTTTGCCCTCCAGCGTCTCGCCCAGAATGCGCGCAAAGTCTGCGCCATCGGCTGTGGCTAGCTCCAGTGTATATGTGTGCACGACCACCTCTGGTCGATCAGCCAGTATGGTTGATTTGGTCTCCTGCAACAAGGGTTCGTTGCGACCAAGCAATACGACCATCGATCCCGTTGCCTTTAATTGGCGCGCCAACTGCTGGGCAACCTCGCGACCAATGCCACGCGAGGCGCCTGTCACCAGCAAATAAGTGCGCTGCTCCAGATTCATGGTAAAAAGCAAGTTTTATTCCGACCCTCAAGCGCTGCGTCAACAGTTGGTTGCAGGTTTATAATGACTGTCTATCGAAGGCAGCTTTCAAGCAGCTTCCTCAAAAGCTTCGAAACGTGTATGTATCTGGATAGGCTTATACGTGCATCTATGTGTGTGTGCGCTGCAGCTGTCGGTTCTTCTATAGGTTATGACACTTGTTAGTTTAATGTTCGTGCCTAAGGCGCACTCCTATCAAGTGTCATAACTATATCGATAGTAAATAGAGCCTCTTTTTGTTGTGCTTTGTTCCCAACTTTCGCCTTTGGGAATTTTTATGAGCTTTTGCTTACACACATACGCGTAGAGACATATGTTTGTATGCATGCATGTATTTACGAGTTTTACTCAAGTTTTACTTTGTCCAATTTATACATAGTTGCTTAACCGCTTTGAGATTCGCTTGGCCTCACATCGGCATAAAAAGGTTATCGGCTCTACATGTTGCTCGCATTTAAATGATAATTGCTTATTAATTGTCACACTTAAGATCGCATAACAAGACCCGCAAATGAATTTAAACAGCAGCCGCTTATCAATCGCTCTCCAACCGCGCAGTGCGGAATGCTAGTGCAGTTTTTGCCAAGGTCAAAATAACTAAAATACTTAATGATTTGACTGAAACTTAACCAAAATTAAATAAGAGATTGCTAAAAGCTTTTCGCTTTTTTTTATTGAACATTGAAAATGTGTTGAGCAATGCTAAAAATTTTAATTTAAAAATGTGTTAGGTCTTAACATATTAGAAATTAGTACACTGAAAAAAAAGATCTAGCTTTAAGAGATATAATAATACTCCGATTTAGAGATTAACAAGATACACTGAAAACAAATTAGATATTTAAAAAAAATCCAAAAAGATAGATTGTAAGTTTTATATTAATACGACTTAAACATATTTTCCCTAATATTAAATTTTTTTTTCATGATTTTAATTCTTATTTGGAATACAACCAAATTTTTTCTTTGTGTATTTGTTTTTTTTTTTCATCTAATAAGTAGAGCTTTTTAGGCTTACAAAAACAAGCTAAGCTCAATAATCATAGTCGATTAACACACATAAATCTCATCCAATTAGCCAATGAAAAGTGCTTATTACTAACGATTTCATGATTAACAAACATTTTATTTTTGCGTCGAACATACATACATATATATGTATGTGTATATGTAAGCAGTGCAATTATTACGGCATGGTTCAGTTGCCCCGCTCATTACAGCAACATTGTTGCTGAGCCGGCGATTGTGATTGGGCCTTATCAGCGATAATGTTGCGTAGTTCTCGGAAGACTTGCGCTTTTTGTGAATGGTTAATCGAGCGCAGAGATAACATTTGAGTCATTCCCCTAGTATACCACAGCTGGGATAGATAGGCACACATAGCTTCATAGGAAGTCATTCCAATGATCAGACTGATCTTTTGCAGAATTTACATTCACGTGTTGCATATGTGTGCGTAAGCTTGATTTTAATTGAACTTAACGTAAAAAGTATCGATAACAAAATTGGTTGATGCCATACCTAGCAACAGGGTGACTTGAATACTTCAAGAAATTTTCAATTGATTTGGGCTTTTTTCGATTTAGGGAAATTTGAAAGCTGCCTACGTCAGCCATTGCATTATTATATAAATTGAATTTACATACAGTGTACAAGAATATATTTATTTTGTGAAATACCTGTCTTGATTTAAGAACTCATGTGTCTATGACCACGCCTACAACAGGCGTAACGGCCGGTGCCTTTGACTGTTGTCGAGACAATAATTAACTGGCCTCCTCGCCCACTCACAATAGTCAGATCTCATTATTGACATCTGTACTCTGAGAAACGTTCGAGCACTAAGCACTGCTTATATAATTCATTATCTGTATCAATACCCATATCAGCCCCTCGTTAAAACCCTCATTAAAAATAAATCAATAATAAAAATAGTCTTTTTTGTGTTTCGTTTTCGTGTGTTTCGTTAGCGTAGCACGCAAATTGTACCGTTAGTCGCACAAGGGTCAGCAGCCATATTTTATTCATATCCGCTTTCAATTGGACAAAATCTTGATCAATACCGTTAGCCATGTTAACATGCATGTCAGTGGCAGTGCGTGCCCGAGCAAGCCAATTGCAATAACCAAAAGCAATTGGATGCACAGACCACGACTGCATTGCTACTCATAAGAAGAAAGTGTCGTAATAGTCCACATCATGGCCGGAGACAAAGGCGGTCTTCTCCAGAATGTTGATCAGCTTGAGCGTGGAGTGCAGCGGCTCGACTCGCGGCAATTTCAGCTCCGGCGGCAGCTCGATCAGCTCTTCGGGAGTCAGAATATTGCCGTTCTCGTCGCAATGGGTGCGGTGCGTCTCGAGCAAGCCCGGCGCATAGCTCAGCACATGGACGTTGGCGCGCGCCTCCTCCGAGGCCATGGCACGGAAGTACATATCGCGCGCCCTCTTGCACGAGCAGAGCAGCGTGCTGTACACCAACGGGCGCACCTGCAGCGATGAGGTCACATTAATGGCCAGCTTCTCGACGCCCTTCAGTTGGATGGCGTTCAGCCAGCGTTGATTCAATGCCACCGGCGCGTACAGCTGGTGCTGCACATAGTCGAGCCAGCTCTGTGCCGTCTGCGGCTCCAGCAGCATATGCGTGGCAGTCTCGCCCTCGTTGTGCACAATGATGGTGCGCTGGAAGGGCACACAGCCGGCCAGCAGCAGGCTCTGCTCCAACAATTGCACGCCATTGTTGTGTTGCTCATTCCAGACGCCAGGGATTATGCGGACCGCATCGGATGTCAACTGCTGCTTCAAGTGCTGCAATTGCTCGCGACTTTCATCCAGGATGAGCGCCACCGAGCCGGCTGCCAAGCGGCCACATAGCTCCTGGGCCAGCGTCTGGCCAAGCGGATTCGAGCAGCCGCTCAGCACCAGAAACGTGCGCACACTTAGATCCATTCGCTTTGCTGCCATGACGACCTGCAACAGGATGTCGACTCTAGACTGACTGCTGTTCCGAACACTTTTGACTGTACAACTGTACTGAACGATCTGAGGCGCTCCAGGCCAACTGCTAGACTCTGCTTCGGCTGATAAGCGGGCTATGTACCACGTGTATTATATGGGGGGAATCTCAATTGAAAATGAGACTAAAGCTGATATTATGTCAACTCAACAGTCCTAATCTCGCTGACGCTGGTGCTGACGACTGGCTGGCAGGCAGGCTGGCTGTTTGTCTATCTATCTCCGTGTTCGCTACTCTGAGCTCATGATTCCGCGCGGTTTGCGCTTTTATACTTCGTCCGCTTGGTGATAAGGTGATCGAACTGTGCCTCCCTTGTTTTCTGTTTCGCTAGCTGTTGCCGTGCGCATCCATGGTGGGTGTCATGGCTATGGCCATTTGTAATTAACCAACTGGCTGAGTCGCATAATACACGCCCTCATCGCATGATCACATATCATTTGGGAGACAGAAAAAAGAAGAAGTACTGGATCAGCACATCCGGGACTGCCATAAAAAGTGAAGACTCCCAGTGGAAAAACAACCGCCAGACGACATTACAACTTCTTACTTTAAATGAAGCGAAAAGAGTATATTGCTTTCGCTGTCCCTATTCTTAAGCATTAAACTTCGTACGATAAAAATATATTGTATATAAAATACGCCTCTCTTGGGGCGTGGAAAATAAAAATATATATTAAAGCTTAACAAGTGAGTATTGCATTTTTTAATGAATTTCAAACGAGTATTATGCGGTTAAAACTAACTGTGTTCTAGCTGCTTCTACAACTATTCTATGGCTAAGAAAACGATTTTCACTTCCATCTCATGATCTTTAAATTTACTTGAAAATAAACTCTCAGACTGAAGAAAAATTCTCGTTTTACTCATATAGATTTCACTGTAGTTAAATAATTATCAGTGTTGAGACAAACGTCTATAGACAAATTGATTTTTTGAACTTTTAGCATGAGGATTAACCTTTTTGTTTTTAAAGCTTACAGATTTATACAACTCGTTACAGAACGTAATAAATTATATATAAATCATTAATTAAATTATACAGATTTATATACATATATACATATATTATATATTATAATATATTATTTGCAATATTTATAAGCTTTTCTCAAATTATATTTTGTTTCAATTTGCAAATTGATTAGCGCAAGGCATATTTGATTATATCGATTAATATCCTACGGCGCGTATCGATAAATAAAAAAGTGCAAGTATTGCAGGTAACTGTTCATTAAATATGTGAATATGTGCGTCGCATCCATAAGCAAATCAACATCGCATATTTTCAAACACGTCTACTACGTTATTTTTAAAAAGAATTAGGTCAATGGCCTAGTTTAGTTGCCACTGGACCAATGGAAATGGGGGACCCTGACGTTGACCGGGGAATTGGGACGCAGCGCTAATCGTTCGCAATGCTCTTGATTTTGCAAAACTTTCATTGTTAATTTATTGGCAGCGTCGACGTCAACGTCAACGTCAGCAGCGACTGAGACAGAGACAAGAGAGATTGAGAGAGTGAGGGAGAGAGAGAGAGACAGTGCAAGTAAAACGTTAGCGATATGAATTTCATGGAATTCGCCAAGTTTTGCGCGGTTTCGTTTATCACCGCATCCCACAACATCCACTTGTCGCTGTGCACTGGAAGTTAGGTCATTGGGCACGTGCTGTCGCCAAGCGAAAGCATCGATGCGCAGCTGAGCCCGCCCCAGAGCCTGAACTGTGACCCTGGCGCGTAGAAATGAGAAAGTGTCCCTGCAAGATGAAGCTGCGATGTTAAGTTTCATTTAAAGCGAATCGCAGACATCGTGCATATACAATAAGAATAGCAATAACAATACAAATAAGAATAGCATAGTGCACAACTGTAACAACAACAACAACAACGTGAGCTGAGCTTAAGATCTTGGGTATAAAACGTGTGGGTCGCTTCGATGTCAATTCAAACGCTTAACGAGCTCAGAGCAGCACGCGACCGATAAGACGAGCCCCTCAGTAACATCATCATATAATATATATTATAATCAACCATAGAACAATGCACGCCTGCAAAATAATGTTGTCTCTGCTGTTGACGCTGCTGTGCAGTCAGGGCGTAAGTAGCTCGAACTACCAATTAAAATTGGCAGTGGTCTAACAAACAAATCGTTATTTACAGCTGCTAGCGAGTTGTGTTTGCTCAGAGAAGGGTACCGATTTCTGTCAGAGCTGCCAGGGACCGACAATAGTGCGACCGAGGCCCCGCTACTATGAGCCTGCCGAGGTGAACTTGCCGCCCATTGGCGACAATTGCTGGTGCAGCAAGCAGCTGATCGAACCCGCCCAGCGGCCCAAGACCTGCGGCAAAGTACGTGAGCTCTTTCAATATGTGAACGCATTTAACAATCTGTTGAGCCGCCGCATGCTTGAGGGCGCCATCGAGGCCAAGACATTGGCGGCACAGCGTCTGGCCGAACGGCTGCAACGCTTGGAGCAAACCGATTGCAACCACAAGGGGCGTGGCGTTCAGATGATGCCACCGAGCTACGGCTATGGCCAATGACTAACCCAATAATGTGGCTTACAAACCTCATCTTAGAATTAGATCTAAACCCAGACTAGTATACACTCAATTCCAGTTTAAGCCCAGCACAATAACGCACACCTACGTACATACATACATACTTACATAGAAACGCACACATGCCCACATCCTCTGTAGTAGCTGTCAATGCTACGATCAACGTTTCCGCATGCAAGCGCTATCAGCGGCCAAATGTGCGCCGAAATAGGCCAACCATAACAACGTTGTGCTTGCATCAACATAATTATCAACGTCAGCAGCAGCAGCAAGAGCACTACAATAACATCATCATCATCATTATGATCATCATCGTAATGGACTTAGGCATCATTGGTCGCTCTGTCGTCATTATCATCCCGTACGTGCGCCAAGCATTAACAACATCAACAACCTGCTTGCCATGATAGAACTTATAGTCAATACGATACCGATACCCAAACTCTCGTCATTTCCACAGAAGACACCATGCAAACCCACCTGTGGCTGTCAGAAGAGCGGAGATATCAGCTACGGCAGCTCCAGCAGCAGCAGCTCTACTTATGATAAGTAAGTATTTAGTCGTTTGGTCTATGATTTACTGTTGCTATCAATGAAATCTACAATTCCTTTAGCATTGGCTATGCGGCCGAGAAGCCGAAGGACGATAGCGCACCTGCCGATCCCATTAGCGTCAGCCTGGCCGTTCAGGCAGGCAAGGCTATCAATGTACCCGAAGCGAAGCTGGCATATGGATTCGCTCAAAAGCCCGTCGATGGACAACAAAAAGTTTTCTTCTCCAACGTGCCCGAAGAAAATCTGTTTAAGCTGAAGAGTGATGTCATCACTCTGAAGAAACGCAACTATGTGGCCAAGGAGGAAGAGGAAGAGGAGTACATCGAGGAAGAGGATGAACAAGCCGCGGACAGTGACGAATCGACGCCTCAATTGACATACAAGCAGCTTGGCTATATAACCGAACAATTCAAGAATCCCAAATTCAAGAAAATTATCTCTGCCAAATCCAGCTACAGCTCCAGCACTAACAGCGATAGCTATGGCAAGGTGGGTGGCAAAGTTTCTGTCGACTGTGGCTTCAAGCCCGGTCGCGTTGCCCCCTATCGCAGTGCACGTCGCCAGGAGTTGGACAGCGGCAGCTACTATTAGGTAGTAATACCGCAATGTGTAAATAATTGTATATGAATAGGGAAGGATGACATGATGAATGATGAATGATGAATGATGAATGATGTATGATGTATATGTTTGTTTTAGTTAGCGTTTAAAGTTTATTTAAAATACACAATCCTTTTTAACAAATATTTTGAAGCATACTTTGTTTATCTAGCTACAAGAGTAGTGGCTGAAGGAGACGACATTGCTGCTTATAAAAAGTATTGATAACGTTGAAGTTCTGTTGAAACGGTTGGCTATCACAAGAAACTGGCCTGTAATGCTTTAATATGAAGAGCACGCTCATCATGCTTCTTTTTCTTTCATTTCGAATGTCAAGACAATCAGATAAAGAATACATAAAAAGAAAATTCCAAGTAAAAATGTTCGATAAGCAAAGAACACGATTAAGTGAACATTTTTATCAGTAGTTTTAAAATTTTTTTTGTTGCCCTAAAAGTATACAATACATAATGTTTATTGTGGGTCTCTGAAAAAAAATTCATTTTTAAACACAAAATGGAAATGCCCTTTAACGGTCGAAAGTTATGTCTGTAGCTTAGAGATGGCTGACTTTTTTAACATATCGATTAATCGATATATCAGCGTCATTACAATCGATGCACACAGCCGAAAGCAGTGCGAAGCAGTTGCAAATCAAACACATATGTAAATAAAGTTTTTCTGCCCCTAAGCCCAAGTGCAACACTTGATTCGGCACTGAAATCAGCGCATGCTGGAAACATGACTTTTGACAGAAAATATCGCAAGCGCACATTATTTGAAAAGGTCATCGTGAACAACAACTGCAACGCGAACAAGTTGCAACAGCAGTGAAAAGCAACAACAATCACAGAGAGAAAAAAAACATTGTTCAAGTTCAAGTTCAGTCGCAGTCGTCGCCGCCGCCGCTGGCCAGAACAGACAGCGCTCCAGACGTGGTCGTTGGTACTGCGTGAGAAATTGTACTGGATGGAGTCAAAACCGATATAAAGAATGCGACCAGCCAAGCTTGGGCTAGTTGCTAGAACGGCAGATACCTAAGCAGACGCCGTTTGATACCATTTGATAAATATATATCCATACTATGTTAAAGCTGCACTCGATCACGATGGCCCTACTGCCGATTGTAGTGCTGGCGCTGCTTAGCCATGTTGCAGCGGCTCCCACGCCCGTTCAGGTTGTCTACACGGGAGAGGATGGCTGCGCGTGTCCCACCCAATTGGGCTATCAACTGAATGTGCCCAATCCGAGCAAGCCCAAGAAGTACGAGGGCGGCCAGTATGGCTATCGTGTGGATAAGCCCGTTCAGACCAAGGCCAAGATAAGCTACAGCTTTGATTTTACCGTAGAAGAACCACGTACGCCTGCACCGCCCAAAAGCAAACCGGCCAAGCTTTATGCCAAGGTGGATCGTGTTACGGTCAACAAATCAGGTGGGTAGCATGGCAGAGATTCATATAATAATGGACGCGCCTTAACACATCTTTCGTCATGCAGATTGTCGCGCCCAGGACAAGTCCAGCTGTAGCTGCAGCAGCTGCTCCGCTGCTAAGCCAAGGTACGTAGCCCAGCAGTCCATTGCCAATAGCAATGCTATACGTCGTCGTCGTGATCTACGGTCGCATGGCTCGCTGCTGCGCAAACGCATAATGCGCCAGCAACAGTTACAGGAGCGTCCAGTGCGATATGTTAAGCTCTATCACAAGGATCTAACGCCACAGCAGCAACAAAAGATGCGCCTGTTTGGGCTGACGCCTGCTCAGGAGACGCCCGCAAAGACCAAGCGTAAGACGAAAAAGACGTCTGCTTTAAGCTCGCTGCATGGCAAGCGTTGGCTGGGCTTGGGTCGTCACTTGACCAAACGCGACATCAAGGGGGAGTATGATCTGCTGGAGCGGGATCGTGCCAATATTGATTTAACGGCTCCAGAGATCATACAATTCATGCCGGAGACACTGAATCCCAGTTTTAAGCGTGGTCAGTGTCACATGGGCTGCGGCGCCATTACGGCCAGTGGGCCAAACGATGTCGCAGAGGATGGCCAACAGATTACCAGCCCGGGCAGCACCGAACAGCCCGAGCTATCGGAGCGGAATACAGAGCAGCCCGATCTATCAGAGCAATCGGAAATGCCGCCAGCCCCATCACTGGTTAACTCGTTACCCGCCAAGCGCTCGGCGCTTAGCTATTTTCCACAGCAAATACCCTCGCCGCTGTCGGGCAGCTACGACGAGTACAGATTTGTGGACGACTCGCAGCTGAGATCGCTGCTGTCGACCACCTCGGTGCCAGATCCATTGGAGCAAAGCTCTACGCCGTTGCAGTTCGCTGGCGATCTGCAGTCGATAAGTCCGCGCGCATACTCAACGCCAGTGCTGGGCATCGCTGATGGCTATCCGGTGGAGCACATGGCGAACAATCAGCTGGACAGCATTATATCAGGCATTGTTTACAAGCATCCGGAATATGTTGATACCAGTTCACAGTATGGCGGCAGCTTGGTTGACCCCGAGCCCGAACAAAGAAAGCAAACAACAGACTTTCTCAAGAAGCTCATCGATGGCCGCCTCGGCGGCTGGGGCTTCGACACGTCCACTGAACCAGAGTCGGCGCTCAGAGCCGACTACTCGACGACGCCGTCGAAGACCTACGGCTACAATAGCCACAATCACGACGGCTACAGCTTGGATACGTACAATGTGCCGCCCATCACTGACTACCTGCGCGCCTGGTTCTAGGCACGACTCACCTAAGCACTTAACTAATTGTGCTGGCTGACAAATCATTGTATTATATAGTGCGGTTGTTTATAGGGATATCTGTGGTTTTACTTCTATGCTAGTTGCTTAGTTTATAATAAACTTAATACGAAAACAAACAAAACATAAAAAAACAATTACAAAATAAATGGAAAATTATTGGCGGCTTTTCTTTCTCACACTCTGATTCGATTCTCATTGCAGCTGCTACGGCGACGGCAACAGCAACGGCGACGGCAGCGGCAGCGGCAGCGGCTATGGCTACTAAAGAAGATGACCCAATGGGCCAGCGGGCCAAGTAGTTGGCCAAAAATTCTGCTGAGCCCGGCAAATCTTGGCGCGCATTTATTTGGGCCAGTGGAACAATGCCCGCTTCACTTGTACATTTTCTCTGTATATATATGTATCTATGTATATATGTTTTGTAAATTGTATATTATTTATTTCTCATATTGCACTTTCCATCGTTCTGTCCGCCCGTCCGTTCGTGTGTGGAGCGTTTTCTGTTTACGTTCACATTTCAACGTCAATTTCTGAATTATGCTCCAAATAAAAGTCTTTTGCCTTGTCTAACTATCTATATGTTCTTATTTACTAATATTTAATATCAATCATTAGAGTTAAACGTTTCATACTGAAGCTACCAAATGGGTGTCGGCAAGACGTGGACTGCCATTGATTATGTATTTACATGCAGTAATACAATAGTTAACAATTAATGTATTTGACCATACATATGTTCACTGCATACTCTCATATATGTAAATTCGTGCTCCTACCAAGGTTAACAGTTACTTTTACATGTTGTCTTGTTCATTCACGTTCTTGCTTCGGCTCGTTTAGTTGCCTTGTAATGCTTACAAATTTGAGCAGGAAGTCGTTAATAACTTATCGAAGCGTCAAGCTAGCCGATTATTTAGCTATCGATTACTTGTCGACTCGAAATGCGATAGTGAGATGCAATTAGATCTCTGCTATCTCTGATAGATTATGATTCTGCCTCACTTTGCTTTTTCTTTTTTGTACTTTTTAGCAGTTCGTTGATTTTCAACTATCTGTCAAGAATTTATCCACATACCATAAACATTCCAAGCGCATTTCATGATTTTTGCGTGCCAAATAATTGCAAATGTAAAAGAAAGTTCGAGTAGGAATTTCTCAGGCATAAATTTATGTCTGTGTACGTAGACAGATCTTGAAGACGTTTTAATCATTAATGACTTCACCGATATCAATGAACAATAATAACAACATGAACTTACCTTCAAAAGGTAAACAGCTTCGGCATTTAGAACTTACAGCAGCATTTGCTTTGCGGAAGTCGAAAGCTGCTCACAATACGCAAGTAAATAGTATTTCCATCCTCTGTCTTATTAGCCCGTTCACTCACTGGGTACAGTTGCCGTCACAAAACGTTAACAACCGGAAATGGCCGCCATGTTGGCCGCCATCAATGTCAAGTGCATTGCGTACCGAAGCCTCGTACGCGCCCATTGAGACGCCAGTGCTAACTATTATTGTTGACCCTGGGCCAGCTGACGCATCAAGATGAAGCAAGGTTGACAGCGATGATGCAGTTGATGATGCATCTGATATCTGGCCATAGATCACGTCTGTGCGCACTCTGCCCGCTTTAGCTAGTGCTCAAAAGCTCACGCAGCTGCAATCGACTATTTAAGTCCAGTTCGCTTGAAACGCTGAGTTCAGTTGGAGAGCCCGAGCACATCACACATCAAGCTAACGTAACAGAATGGGCGCCCCTGCCAACTCTGTTTGGCTGCCGCCGCTGCTAATGCTAATGGTAATGGCATTAGCACAGCTGGCAATAGGGCAGGTGAGTTCTTGAAAGACCCAAAGCATAACGAGCGTTAGTTAACTCAACAATCAACTGCAATTAGAACAATGACACGACCAGTACCAGCAGCAGCAGCAGCAGCAGTCCAAGCAGCGTCAGCAGCAGCAGCAGCACTACACTCCGTCCCAGCAGCAATGCTGATCTGGTAATTGGAGGTGATCTGAATAAAGCCGCTCGCGTAGAGCAGATGGACAAAGATCTGGAAACTGATTTGGACACCAACACGGTGACGCCGAAAAGTGCAGATGATGGCCACTACGATCTGATTGACGTCATGGCCGCCACTAGTGCTGGCGTCGGCAAGCCCAAGAGTGGCCAGACCACGCGCATCTATACCACCGGCGACGTGAATGATGATTTCTGGCTAAAGCACTTGGGCGATGACTTCAAGCATGCCATTCACCTGCAGGTGGGCGGCACAAACGAAGACTACAATCGCATCATCAATCAGACGAGCAATGGCATACATGAGGAAGTGCATCATGAGTATTTGCCGGGCGCCGAACGACCGCCAGAGGTGCAACGGCAGGAACAGCAACGGCAGCAGCAACAGTTGGGCAGATCTGCTGGTTATGGCCACCCTAATTTGGTCACCCAGCTGAGTCTCGACGGCGAGGCAATGTCGCTCAAAAATAACTATCTCAGACAGCAGGCAGAGCAGCAGCAGCAATACGCACGAGGCTATGCACTGCCCAGCATGCACTACAGCACACACACCGGCCATGCGCACACATATGCACGCACACAGCCACACACACACTCACACTCGCACTCACACACACACACACACAGCACACAGCACACACAACACACACACGCGCAGTCTGGCAAGGCACAAAGTGGTTTGCGCCATCGCTACAAATCGAACTCGGGAAACGCAGCTGCATCCGAGTCTCCGGCGCCCAGCTACATCAACTCCAGCGAGGACACCTTGGACGCCGCCCAATCCCAGGCCGCGCCCAGCTCTAGTGTCGTGCGATCGGAGGATTTGGATAGCCAGCTGCCCTTTAAGTCGGCCTTCAATGACTTCGGCAGTCGACCCACTCGCGATCTAACCTATTTGCTTTATAAGCGCGGACTCTGAGTGTCGTCTGACTAAATAAGTTTAGCATTTAATAACTTAATAAACGCCACAAAAACCAATAACAAACACGATGTATTACTCTTTGGAATGAGTGTAGATGCATATATATATATATATATATATGTCTGTAAAAATCTAAGTAATATATGTATATAGATAGATCGACAAAGTGAGCCGACACTTGCCAAAGAACGAATGTAGATGCATGTATATATATGTGTGTATAGATAGATAGATATATGGATATAGATAGATCGACTGAGTGAGCTGACACATCAGTGAGAACATCAATCTGAGCTATTGGCTTGCATGTGTATTGGTGTAGCTGTCTATGTATTAGTGCTCGCTGCCAGCCTCATGTGTGAGCTGCTGTAGCCGCTGCATCCGTGTGCCGCATAGCTGAAAACTTTGACTTTTGAGATGCAACTAAAGGAGGAATATGTAAAAATATAGTATTTTTATCAATTTTAGCTTAATTTTGATGAGTTTTACTAAACATTTCATATAACAAGAGCTCTTCAGCTCGTTGAGATAGCTGCCAAAAATAAGAATGAATTTGAAGCGACAATGAATTGTGCCACATCATTAGAGCCAAGCGAATGCAATGAAATTCCCAAATGTGATAGGTATTATATATATATAAATATATATATATATAAGTTAGATAGAGTTAGTTGAGATAAATTGCACTCGTTTGGGTTTCACTGTTGAAACTTGAGTTCCGCTTGCTACTTTAATCACAGATAGTTGAGCTAGATTTGTAGCTTACAGTTGTGTTGATAAGATATATTTGATAAGACTAGAAACAGGAAAATCACCTGCAGATCAATTTGTGCCAACTGTCAATGGTTAACTGTGTGTGTGTGTGTGTGTGTGTGTGTGTGTTGGTGTTGCAGCGAGTCCAAGCTGTCACAAAGAACTCAGCGTCAGAGCACGAGCTTGGCAGACAGCGACTGAGATCTTGGCCACTGGCCAAGCAGCAATGAGATGTACAACAAGAACAAGAGTCGAGTCGAGTCGAGTCGAGTCGAGCCAAGTCGAGTGCGAGTCGACTGCCAGCCAGCGAACTGTTGGTGGTGCGACAAAAATTTGAAATCGGAAATGTAAATCGTTGGGCAATGGCATCGCAAAGATCACGTAGTCGTTGCCATGATGGTGTTGGCAACGTGAGCGCGATATAAAAGCGCCACAGCGATGCCATAGGCCCGCTATAAAGACCAAGCACAGCTGCCAACCAACGAACAGTAGACATCTGAGCGCTGACACATATCACGCACCACACAACATGCAACTTGGTCTCTGGTTTGGGCTTTTTGCCGTCGCCGCCGCACCGGTATGTACAACCCACAAGAACTCCCGACTCACCCAACTTCCACTGCCATTTGCGACTCTCTAATTCGGTACTCGGAAAACACAACTAATCGGCATCAAACGCAATTTGCTTCATCTCTTTTAGCTGGTGAGCGCTAATTATGGTTTGTCAGGTCGTGGTGCCGGCGGTCAGATACAGTATCTGCCTGGAGGTCCATCGGCGGGCTTGGATGAGTATGTGAATGCTGCCACCGGCGGCTCGCAGCCGTCGTCGAATCAGCTGACAGCTCAGGCTGAGATCCAGCCATCGCCCGAGGAGGCTCGCCGCTTGGGTCGCGTCCAGGCTCAGCTGCATGCCCTGAACAACAATCCCACCTATCAGAAGCTGAAGAACTCTGAGGATATTGCCGAGTCACTGGCCGAGAACAACTTGGCCAGCAACATTCGCCAGGGCAAGATCAATGTGGTCTCACCCCAGTTTGTTGATCAGCATCTGTTCCGTTCCCTGTTGGTGCCATCGGGCCACAACAACCATCAGGTGATCGCCACACAGCCCCTGCCACCAATCATTGTGCACCAGCCCGGCGCACCACCCGCCCATGTGAACAGCGGCCCACCGACTGTGGTGCGCGGCAATCCCGTCATCTACAAGATCAAGCCATCGGTCATCTACCAGCAGGAGGTGATCAACAAGGTGCCCACACCACTGAGCCTCAACCCCGTCTACGTCAAGGTCTACAAGCCAGGCAAGAAGATCGAAGCACCTCTGGCCCCAGTGGTTGCCCCCGTCTACAACCAGCCTCAGTCCTACAGCCAGCCTCAGTCCTACAGCCAGCCTCAGTCCTACAACCAGGGACAGTCGTACGGCAATCCTGGTGCATCCGGCCCCAGCAGCTCCGGCTCCAGCTCCGACAGCTATGCCGCCGGCGCTGAGTCTCCACTCTATGCCAGCCCCGCTCCCTATGCTTCATCCAACTACTAAGCGAGCACCGCTGGCCACTTGCCGCTGCTGTCGCCTGCTGCACAGCGGTCGAGCAGTCCGCTGCCCTGCTGAAGGGTGTTTAATTTAACAAATTTGTTTTTTTTTCTAATGCAAATAAAAAAAGCCTAAAATACAAAAAAAAAACCCAAAAACTTCTTCTTTACTTCAGCAATACTTGCTCTATAAGCTACAGACTTCGAGCTATATGAACTTTGTGATTTCCTATTCATTTTGCAGGAAGAGAACACGATTTTAGTCCTTTGTTGTCCTAAGCAGAGACAGCAGATCTATAATGCCTCGGTCCTATAAAACAAACTGATTTTAACATGACTTCTCATGCCTTTTTGCAGCATCTAAAAATATTCCTTATGTTTCCATAACTTTTAAAACCTGAAACCTGACTTTAGCCTGAATTTGCATGCCTTTTTGCAGTGCTCCTCTGACATCCCAGCCATATTCTGAGTAAACAACAGACTTTTACAACACCTTACTATGTATGTTATTTCCAGATTTGTATTACTTATTTCGCATTCAGATAGTGCACTTAAATCGTATCGAAAACATAGACAACAAATGGGCCAAGATCGAAAAAGCGCTGAATACTTGAACACTTTTCTGATTTTTCAGCATTTTCTTTTTTGATTTTAGAAATTCTGCCGTCGTTGGCAGTTAATAAAATTGCGTTTATAAGAGTTATATATATATGTATATATATATTTATTTATATGTATACGTATTATATATGTATATATAGATAATTATACTTATGTGACGTTCTTTACTAGCATAGAATCATATCACATTCATAGCATATAATATGAATGTGGATATTTACATACATGTCATATCATATTCTATGATATATGATACTTTATCATGATATGTAGTCACTTTTATAACTGTAATATTTTATGGTCTACAATTACTATAATAATGATATGTTCTTTAGCTATAAAGCAGCTAAACTTAGCTGGAAATTAGCTTTCTTTAGCTTGCACAGATTTGCCAGCATATATATAGATACATCCATTATATATATATTATATATACATACATTTTATATAGATTGTCATAGCTAACTGCTCCAGAAAGTTGGCTTTAGCATTCTATATATATTTATTTGCCTTCATAATATGCTTATAAAAATATATAAATAATATACAGGTTCAACTTATATGCAGTATAAACATGCCTAAGGCCAACTGTACTACAACTTTTTTGCAGTGTATGCCAATGAAAATGGTTCAAAAACTTGCTCAACTGAGCTGTTAGCTGATCTTTAGCTAGGGTTCAAGATATATTATATAGCTCGATTGTTTGCAGTGTAGAAAGTTCAGTTTAACTGACATTTAAATATGCCCAAAGCCAGCTAAATGTACATCAACTATTTTTTGCAGTGTATTGCAGTGGCGCTCTCTCCTTTCTTCACTCCACTCCAACAATAGCTAGGAGTGTGAGGGTTGAGATTGGGAGGGAGTTGAGGACATGGGAACTTGGGGCATTGGCCACTCACTCACCCAGCTCCGATCAGCTGCAGTTGGCGCTGTTCACATATAATCGCTTGGAGCTTTCAATGCGGAACTGTTGAATTGCCATTTGGCAATCACAATCTTGGCTCAGACAGTCGGTTTTGTTCTGTGCTGTTATGGAAAACCTCGATATGGCTTATGTGTCAGGGCACGATGCACGAGATGGTGTTTGCGGATTGTTGACTGATGGCTTATGATGTTCTTGTTGTTGTTGCTCTGGCTGTTGTTATTGTTGATTTCGACGTAACACGCCGAGATATGCGCGACGAGATGCGTGCGAGCAATCAGCATTTGGCCATGTTCGCTAGCTGGCGTGGGCAACAACAACAACAATGGGCCAGAGCTGGAGCGGAACAGCGGCAACCGGCAGCAGCAACGGCTGCCGACCGGGTGAAATGTCACGTACCATAGGGCAAGCGTTCGATGGCAGCATATTTAAAGAAATCTCTGAGCAAGCTAAGGCAGCAGAAGACATCAGACGGTCGTACAACGAGCCACTCGAGTTCGAACCGCCAACTGGGACTGGAAACGATGAACAGACACAGCATCATATGGGCGCTAGCCGCCTGCTTAATTGTACGTAACCAATACGCCCAGTCGACCAGTCGACCAGTCGATGACCCACTTGCTCCACATCTCAGCTAAAAGCAAACGCACACGCGCAGTGATCGCATTATTCGCCATCTCATTCTCTCGCTGATTTGTTCTCTCGCTCTCTCTCTCTCTTTTTCTCTCCCAGGCATGTGCCAGCGCTAGCAGCTACGGCGTGCAACCGAACTACGGCTCTGGCGGCCAGGAGTCGTACGGCTCGGGCGGACAACAGAGCTACAGCTCCAGCTCCGACGGTGGCGATGCAGCAGCCGCTGCATCCGCTGGCGGTGCCGGTGAATTCGGCAATGGTGCCGGTGATGGCGCCTCCGCTGGCGCTTTGGCTGGCAATGCCGATGCCGCTGGCGTCGCCCAGGCCAGCCAGGGCAGCTATGGCTCTGACCAGAACATTCCATACAAGCCGGTGAACACCAAGGGCAACACCCTTACCTCCTCGATCACATACCCACAGAACAAGGGCGAGATTCTCATCCATCGTCCGGCACCCATCATTGTGCGTCGCCCACCCACCAAGGTGCTGGTGAACCATCCTCCATTGGTTGTCAAGCCCGCCCCAGTTGTGCTGCACAAGCCCCCAGCAATCGTGCTCCGCAAGGTCTACGTCAAGCACCACCCACGTCGCGTCAAGGTTGAGCCCGTCTTCGTCAACGTGGTGAAGCCCCCAGCAGAGAAATACTTTGTCAATGAGAACAAGCAAGGCTACGGCCAGGGCTCGCACGGCTCCGGACAGGGTCATGGACACCACATTCTGAACAGGCCCGGCCCCATTGTGTCCGGTCCACAACAGCATGGCCCCGGTGGCCAAGCCCTGCCCGCCTATGCCTCTGGCGCCGACAATGCCGCCGCCAGCGCCGGCTACCAGCTGCTTCAGGGCGGCAACCACGGTCTCTCCGCCCTGGCCAACATTGCTGGCGAGCGCGAGGGCAACTATGGCGGCCAGAGCTACGGCCCCAGCCAATCCGGCCCCAGCTACTCTAGCTCATCGTACTAAGCGCCCAGCGCTTACGATGCCCAGCGACAATCTCATTGTCGCTGCCTCCAGCTGCCAGCTACCAGCAACTGGTCTTAACTGGTCTTAGTTACTATGTTTTTTACACAGCTTGGACGCTCACAAGGCGGGCGCGCAGGTTTCTTTGCAAACAAATAAAAAAAAATTTGAAAAAATTAAAAAAAAAAACATTGTTTAAATTGCTATCAACTAAAAACTTCTTCGAAATGGAGCAACAGATTCTGATGCCGTTTACGATTCAGCTAAGTTGGCTGCTGCTTTGCTTAGCCATAATAACTGCAATAACTTTTTCCAAATATTATAAATTTTGCATATTTTTCTGGGATATGTGATCTATAATCAAGTGAAATTTGAAAACGAAAATTTTCTTATTATAAGATAAAGACTTTAATTAAACTGAATTCAATTGTAATTGATGGCTTGAAGCTGAATCTGGCTCTATGTTTTAAGATTTCCATGAAATTATTAAAACCTCAAATTAAGTGACATAAGCTCTAAAAGTCTGAAGTCTATATCTAGACGAACCAGATATCTAATAAATTTAATCAGTAATCAGTAATCAGAGTTGAGATTATACAAAATTAAAGGGTAGAAACTCTATAACTAAGAGCTAGACATATTCATAGATGATCTACAGCTTTGCTTTGCTTAACTTAGTAACTAAATTATTAGCAAAAATTCTTTAGGCACTTCCAATCATTTCCTATGGCTCACTAGATTCTACAGACAATTTTGTGTATAGTCTAAGCCTTAAGCCTTATAGAGTATAATTCATATTTTGCGTGCATCAGTTGTCCTCCAAGTGCAGCGCGAGAGGTCAGTCGCAGCGATTGTTGTTTTCCAGTTCTTTGTATTTGGCGAGTCGTCACACACCTCCTAATGCGAATCATAGCAATTGACGTTTAGCTCCCATGCATTAGCTTGCTTAAGCACAATAATCGAATTCCAGTTTAAGGTTTGGAATCTAGGTCGCCTGTGTCGGTGCCGATGCTGCCGCCCATTTGTTGAACTGAGAGATCAGCATAAAAATGCGACACTTTTGCGAAACGTTTTCAGTTTGTAAGCATAAATAGTCGAGCACAAAAATAAAACAGCCGAGCGCATCCAAAAAATCTAAAAAAAAAGAGACAAACAAAAAAATATAATTAAATAAAAATAAAAACTGTTACAAGTTCAGCGCGTGCTAAAGATAAAACAGAAACATAAAAACCTAAGCTGAAGATGCGATTCTTCTCGTTGCATCTGCATCTACTACTGCTGCTGCTACTGCTCCTTGGCCAGGGTTATGCTCGGAATATTGTGAGTCTGACAGAGAACCAAGTCCCAAAGATTCCATATCTCTTAAAATCTCAAAATTTATTTATGCAACTTAGCCCGTTCGTTTGCGGGAGCAGCGCCTGGGCGCAGGTCGAGCGTTCTCAAGCTTTATCCAACTGATCGTCAATGTCATGGGCAACATACATTAAACAATAATCATAATTTTATCTAATTAGAATTTAAATTATAACTACTAGGTGACAATTTTTTTTGATTTATTTATTGTACTTGATCTGGCAAAGTTTCTTACGAATTATTATGACTTATTTAAACGCTCTAATATTTTCTTTGGGCCATCTCAAAATACACAAAATGTTGCAGCTGAGCTTCCGAAATACCACGTACAAACGAGCCGTTGGCCAAATGTCTTTCAATCAGTCGCATTTCCGTACAGTTTTCGACTTTTTCGTTCGGTTTTGTGTTTGTGTCTTGAGCGTTTTTATTGGTTTATTATAAGGTTACATTTTTTCGTATATATATATATATATTTTGTTGTTTTTTGTTATAAATTGTTAGTTTGTTTGCTTGAGGAGTTTTATACATTATTTCTTTGTTAAAAAAAATATGCAGAAACAAGCAGATTTTAAAGTTTAGTTATATAGTCTACTTTAGCGAATAAGTTTTAATAAAATGTATAAATAAATTGTTTGTAAATGTGTTTCTTGATGTTTGCTTCGAAATTTGTAGGTTGTGGGCTAATAAAATCGCATAAAATTGCATAAATTACATATTTAAAATTATTGTTGCGATCATTTTACGGATTTACTATAACTGATTAGATTATGTGTTGTGAATTTGTTCAAAATGTTCTTTAAAAAAATTAAATTTAAAACAAATTTAAAACGGCATATAGTTATTTGTTGTTTTTTTTTCTTTGCGAAGCGATTCTAAAAAGTCGTTGATGTTGTGCAAATCTAAAGTTAAACTGTTTGTTGTACACAAAATGTGAATATAAGATGTTATATGTAGTATAAGTATATGGAGAATAAAGTGATATGGAGTCGATGCTCTAATGACGTGGTGGTCCGTAGACAACTGGCGGAGATTGCTGTGCATTAACTCCGCTTGCTTCCATGGTATAGTTGTTGATCCTCTCGTACGGCATAGCCACCGGAGGCGGCGCCATACCCCAAGTAAATGGACTCTGCACAGAGATAAATATTGTTCAATACAATTCGTTGTTCGTATTCTAGGATAGTTTACCTGTCCACCCTTGTGTGGGGCAAAAAAAATTGGTGGTGGCAACGGTGGCGGCGGCAGTGCTTGCTGGCCTGGCGGAGCATGCAGTGTGGGATAAAAGTTAAACTGATTGCCATTGGTGTTGGGCGACGGCGTCGGCGTTGGCAACAGCATGGCATGCGATAGATGGGGATCTTTGTTCAAATCAGACAGTTGTTCCGGCCGCTTGGAGCGCATTTTGTTAAAGGCGCCACGTTTAGTACGAGCGCGATTTTTGTCTGCGTTTGCCTCCGTACCGAAGGCACTTGGAGAGTTGACAGCAGTTGCTGCTATAGGCGAAGGCGGCGGGGTGGAGTTCGCTACCAGAGCAACTGAGTCGTCGTTGTTTTCCTTTTGTGGTTGGTCCGTGTTGTTGTGGTTTTGATTGACATTCGTGCTGCTGTGCATTCTCATCTGCTCTTCGGGCGGCACCATGTGAGACCAGCGCATATGCATATCGACACCCATGTTGTAGAAATAGCGCAAGGTGCCCAAATCTGCGGGCAAATCCTCACCATTTGCATGCATCGAGCGTCGGGGCTCTAACTGGTCTTCGCTGCTGCTACGCATTGCAATTTTGCTAGTTGTTGTTGCTGTGGTGCTCATGTTGCAGCTGTTGCTACTGCTGTTGCATGTGCCGAGCGGCGGCAGCATCACCGAAGCTGCCGGCGGTGGCAGCGGTGGTGGTTGTGGGGCAAACATATATGGTGTTGCTCCAAATGGCGGCGGCGGTGGCTGCAGCGATATGGGCGGCGGTGGTGCATAGCCACCAAAATGCATAAACATACAGCCATCCGCAGGCAATGGAGGTCCTGGATAGATTCCAGCCTGAAATTCGTCTGGCATAGGCTGTGATGAGCCTCGCCATTGCTGTGGCAATTGCCCAGCGCGCCCAGCCATTGGCATATAGTTGACAAACTGGGCCGTCGGCACTTTTGCCGGGTGCGGGGTCATTGGCGGCACCGTCGTTGCTCCAATAACAGGAGCCGCTGCTTGTTGTTTTTGCTGCGGCTGCTGAAGTGGCGAAGGCTTGTCGCGTGGCTGGAAACGCTGCTCTCGCGGTTGCTGTTCTTGCTCTAATTCGATCGCTTCATTATGTTCGACTTGTTGCTGCGTTTGCCGTTGTTGCGGCTGCGGCGGCGGCTGCTGCTGCTGCTGTTGCTGTTGCAACGTTCCATGCTCATTGAACACCGGCGGACAGTCGTGCCAAGCATCTAGCTGCAGATACTGCACACTGCTGGCCTCAAAGTAATTGGTTACATCGTACAGCTTGGTCTTTTTCCACCTGGGCTTGGCCTTCTGGGTTAGTTTGGCCAAGTGCATGCGCTGCATTTGACGCTGATAGCGAAACGGCACCGCCCACGGCCGAAACTCGTCCGGTGGTACCGGATGCAATGCCTCGTAGGGTACCTGTTACATGAGCATAAGAAAAAAGACAAGGAAAATGATAACAATTAAAGCTGTTAACTTGTATACTAATGAAGGTACAGAGATTATGTGGGCGGGGCGGCGTACCAAAAATTTCTTTCCAAACTGCTCAACATAGACAACCGAGTAGGATTTGTCTGCTGCTATCTTTTGAATGTGGCATGTGTATAGCTGTCTTTCGGCATCGGTCAGCAACTCTACGCGGCACTTGGCGCCCACCTGGAAATGATTGTCAGCAGTCAGGATTCTGTGCATTAAATGGGGAATGGATACATGACATATGGCGGCTATACTACCTTGAAATTGTAATCATTAGCATATACATTGTAGCGCTTGGCCTCCTTGCGTAGATCGTTCCAGCTATCAAACTCAATATTCCGATACATGTAAGGATCCAGAGACTTAGCCACCTTATAGGGAAATGGGGTGATGCCTGTGCATAGATAAATTTCATATCATTTTACAACCAACATATTTTCAATTTGCAAACTGTTTACCATCATCGAGCAGTTGACGCACACAAGAATTCATGGGATTAGGACACATGTGCAGCATCTCTGCACTCTCACTGGCCACTAAAGTGTTTAGTGGCAAATCCAGGCTCAGCTTAAGGTCGCGCCTAGAACTAGGCTCCGGCCCGGATGACACAGATACCTTTTTCAACTGCTTGCGATTGTTGTGGAAATTACACAGCTTATAGTTCTCTAGTATACATTTTGTATTCTCAGGCAAATCTAGCGAAAAGAAGCGTCCATCGCTACAAACAATACGCACAAAGTAGCCCCTCGGATCGAGCTCAACCTCGTAGTTGCCCCAATCGAATGTTTGCGGATGCAGCATTGACTCGACCGCAAAATTCACATCAGGCAGTTTAAACAGCATCTTGTAAAGAAGCTTAAAGCTTATTGCTAAAATATATATTCAAATTCAGTCAGTAAATGGGTTTTCTTTTGAACCTGGCTTTAACTAACATTGGCTTATCGCTGCTGTTTCAATATAGTCCAATTGGTAGACAGAATCAAAATGAAATTCATTCGTGTAGAACACACGAAAGTTATCCAGGTAGCTTTCGTTATAGGTGACAGATGTGCCCAGATTGAATGGCTCAAACAAGATGACATTGCGGCTAAAATCAATTGAATCAATTCGCTAATCAATCATCTTTGGTTCACAGTCGGCTAACTCACCGATACATGCAGCACAGAGCACGCAGCTCCAGCATAGTACCGTATGTCTTAGGCTTGGCCATGTCCAGCATATAACTATCGAAATCGCCACGTACATGCTAACGAAAATGATCATATATAGTTGAGTATATCTAGTATACATATACTTTGAAAGTTACCTGTTCGAAAATGCGACGTTTTCGCGTCATAAATCTCACACACTCCAAACGCACCTCGTAGTGGAGCATTTGGGTGTCGTACATCTGCTCGGCTATAACACGGAACAGGCAAGATGCGTCCCTGGCCGTGTGCTTACGATACATGCAGCGGCTTTCCAGGAATTGGTCGTACGGATCTGGTGCCTGCCGGCTACCGGAGGTGATTGGACGCCTCAACATCATGGTAATGTGCCGTCGAGCAACCTTTAATAAGTGCTACAGAGCCGTTTAAAAGTTATTTCTTTGAATTATATTAAGCTCACTAGTAAAAACGACTGTCCTAAGGAAGTAACTAAAAATTAATTCTACAGTAGAAAACAAAATCAAGTAGTCTTATTTATGAAATGAATATACTAAAGAAAATTAAATTAATTATATAATTCATTTCTTAAAAACTAATAGTTGGTATTCGACCATCGTCTGTGGTGGCGTAAATATTCACGCTCCCATCTCTGGTGGCCGTTCTTATTTATTTTCTTATTCCTGTCACTTTATAGTTTTTTTCTCAAATTGGTGAAGAGGCGGCCATTTTTAAATTTGTTGGTCGTTCACTTTGGGCGCCTATTTATTGTTTCTTCTCGATTCGCAGCCGTGTCAGCGCGGCTAGTGCAACGAACGCTCAGACAGAAAACACCGTTACTTTTTGACGTTCGCGTTCATCGCCTTTTCTTGTGTACACATGCATATATATATATATATATTTGCCTGTGGCAGTTTTTAATGCGAAAGCAGAAAATCTCAAAATTTGTATATATGTATGTATGTAATGTACATGTATCTTCAAATTTACTTATATTTTTATGAAAACAATAAATCATTCAGCATGAGGGCTATACAAATGACAATTAGAAAAAAGCTTACTTACCCAGAAACGTAGAAGTAAATTGGTTTTTAATTCGAAAACGTTTGAAAAAACACAAAATTTCCAATTGTTCAGTAGCCAGCAAAATCAAATGCGGCGGGGACCTGGGGCAACACACACGTACAGTATAGATGGAGCAAAATATATGTACATGTGTACACAGATATTTAAAAAACGAAGAAAATATTAAAAAACAAGACAAACGAGTGCTTTTCTTTGCTGTTATCCCTTGCCCGGCATTTAATACACTGTGCACTAATTGCGAACTAAAACAATTCTAGTCTTCTTTTTGAATCAAGACTACACTCTGCGCATTGCTGGCTGCTATGATGATCAAGTGAGTATCGATTTGATAAAGATATCTTATCGATAAATTACAGTGACAAGGATGCCAGAATCTTTAAGGAATCTTCGTAGAGGCGATGTTTGTTAAGAAATAGTGACGGATGATCGAAATAGAGCGAACTACAAACTTCTTACCGGTTTTTTTTATAAATCCTTCATTATGGTTTTTAGTTGGGTTTATAGTTTGAGCAGAAACTTTGCTATTGATTTGTTATTTTTTTTTTTCAAATAACACACATTTCAATATCCTCATTAATCGTAGGTTGTGTAGCAATTTGAATATTATCATCGATATGTTTACCTATCGATAGGCTGTCGTGCTTTATGTATCGCCACTGAAAGCGCCTTTTTGATTTTGCATATTGTTCTTGTTGTTGTCCCTTGTATGCAGAATGGGGTGGAAAGTGTCACCGACGTCGCTGCCGTCTACGCTTTTCATCGTTGTTGTTGGTGCTTCAGTTTGAAATTGTAAGTCAATGAAGCGAGTAAACTTCGAGTTCGCGCTGTTACCGCGACTAAAGTTGTCTGGAAGAGATGTGAGTGCTCTTTTCAAATTGTTAAATGTTGTTATTTTTGTTGATTTCTTTATCTAGTAAGTGTACTTTTTGTTTGGTGTTCAAGTGTCTCTCTATCTCTCAATGTCTCACTGTGTTGCCATTTCTCCATGCACACATTAAACGGCAATACTTTTGTTTCTTTGTTTTTTTGTGTAGACAAGTTCGAAAAACCTAACATAACCAACAAAAACAACCAAAACAACAACAGTCAATTGCAAGAAATCATCCTATAATTCTGTCATTACTACACGTGCCACTGCTACCAATAATAATTGTTTACATGTATTAAACTACCCGGGTGCGTCCAAATCTCGTGAGCAGATGGTTGCATTTCACTTGATTATGAAATTCTGGAGAAAAAAGCGGTGCGCTGCCCCCACAACTTCATCGCGTTGTCAGCTGCAGTGTGCAGCTATTTTCCCACGTTCCTTTTCACCTTGCATTCGCCTCCTGTTGGTAAAAATCAATATAAAACAACGCAAATACATCAGACAGGGGCTTCTGCAACTTACACGTGTTGTGCCACAGTGTGTGTTTGACATTTGTCAAATAAATGAACAGTTAACCAAATGAGGCAGACAGACAGCGAATCCTCAGCCCCATTTTGGAGTTTACTTTGTTTAAACGGTGTCGACGGCGGCAGCTTTATAGATGGTGCACGTGTATGTGTACGCGCCATGTGCTCACACATGCATGAACAATCTGAGCGGCATTCGTTGTGCTTTATTTTTGCAATGAATGAAATTGGAATTCGCTTGCTCTCTTTCTCTCTCATGCTCTCTCTCTGGTGAGCAATGTTCCTTTTTATTGTTTCTGTTTTCTTTATTTTTCTTTTGTCTTGCTAACATTTGTATGTATTAAAGTACACTGTGTAAGTGCCTATCGTCAATTGGGTCAAGTTCAGAAAAATTTCATCAGTGTTTGTATATATACATGTGTTATCAAAGTGGTTATCATAAGGTGTTAAGGTCATCTGACTGTGTCAATGCCATGGACTTATTCTAGCGATTTCGCCAGTTACCAAAGCCTTACGTCCGCACACACACTCCCACGCGCATATGATGCAGATAGCTTAAGACTCTCTTACTCTTTCTCTTATCCCTCTATTTCTTTGCCATTCATTCTTGGTTGGCGCGACTGCAAAATCTCGGCAAAAGTTAATTGATTAAACAAAATCATATTTGCCCTTATCAACAAATGCCCATGCTTGTCCTGCACTCGTGCATATAAATATATAGTATAGGTACATATATGTGTATATATCTATCTTATCTGTCTGTTAGCGCTATGATAAGTTAATTTTAGCAATACGTCCTATATACACCTCTCGCCTTGTCATTCAGGCGGGAATTAAAATTCGTTGGGGTCGCTGGTACTGGTTCTGGTTCTGGTTCTGCTTCTGGTTTTGGTTTGGTGGTTTCATGCTTTCGCTCTTTTCCTCGCTCTTAAGATAAATTTCCGTTCAATTTTGCATTTGTTATTGTCTCTTATGAGTTTGTTGGTGCTGCTGCTGTGTTCTTAGCTCTTTGCCGATCGACATGAGAATTTGTCTTTAGTTTTCAGTTAGCGTTCAACATTGAAACTTGTCGCGTCAGCAGGAAAGGTAAAGTTTGTTCAATATGAATGAAAATACCTAAATATATATTAGAGCTACAACAGTTGGCGTCGCTGCCGCTGTCGCCGTTGGGTTAACCGGTTTAAATGTATTTTTGGCAATTGTCATGCACAATTTGTTTAGCTAACAGTGCGCGGCGAAAATATTAGGCCTTGTTGCTTGTGTGCAAATACTCTTACGCTTTTACCGATTCATGTTCGAGCAATTGTGCAAGTGTGCGTAATCTTTGTAGCCTTTACACTATGACTACGAAATAGGCTTTGTCTTAGTTTTGTTTTGGAATTACAATACACATACATACATTTCTTTATTTTCTTTTGGTTCTCTTTCTATCACATATTATCTTTGCAAAATTTACGCCCACTTGTTGTCAGTTGGCATCGTCCACAACGTACACCCGAGGGCAAAATGAAGTCGATTAACAGCAATATGAACAGTGGCGGCGAGAATAGTGCGTCCAGAATGCGTCGCAGGCCCATACGTAAGCTATTTATATCACCGTTATATTATTTTGCTATCCTTTTTATTTATAGACATGTATTTAGCTTATAGTTTTTAATTACATTTGCCACAAGTACTAAATATACAAATAATTGCATTTCATTTAGTTGTAATTTAATTTACTCTGCTTCGCCATTTATTTGTTTTATTTTTAATGCATGCTATTTAAAACATTTTACACTCATTTACACATTTATAATTGTTTAATTTGTTATTTTTACTTATCTATAATGCTGGTAATTGTATTTATTTATTTATTTTTTTTTCGAATGGTTTACCGTTTGGCCTAGTAACATTTGTTATTATTATCATCGTTGTTATTATTGTTGGCGGCCCCCTCCAATCATTGCCATTGTCGGCTATTGGCTTGGCTGTCGCTGCCGCCGTCGCTGTCGGCGCACCGGCGCATAACGGTCACTAGCACAGCTGTTCAAGTGGTTGGCGACTCGGAAAGAGAGTGGGTGAGAAAGAGAGAGAGAGGAGTTTGCCTCAAGTGCTCTTCTGTCACCTGCGTCATTGTATTGTGTTTACAATTTTCTAGCTGATTTAAGTGCACAGCCAAGCAGCGCGGACACCGTTTGATTCATTTTGACTCCAGCTCTCTCAAGGGCTTGCACGCGCGCGCGTGTTTCTCGCATGGAAACATTATGAAAGACAAAAAATCACGCAAAAAATTGAGAAAAATACGACCCGCTCATTAATTGCTTAACCATTTGTTTTGCCTTCTTCTTCTTTGTATTATCACATTCTCACTTCTAGTGACGTCAAATAAGTGACAGGTGTATCAATATTTACCACACCGGATCTATTCACAGTGCGACGCGTTAATTGAGCTTGAAATATGATTATATGACACCTGTAATGCGAATATGTTGGTTTAAACTTACACAAAGGCTAAACATTTTATTTATTATTACATAATTATACTAATTAAGAAATCTTAAGGGCTTGCGCATAGAAATCTGTAATAATTATGCAAAACATTTATTTATTTAACATTTATCCCTGTGCGCAGCCAGAGTGAAACATTATGGAATTGGAACAAGCGAATTCGGTTCTAACATGCTGATGTGCTTGCTCCCATTAACAGCTATTCTCGGCTATTGCCTTTCACCTTCTGTTAAGTCAAACGGCTGTGTCGCTTGACTGAATGTTAAGCCTCTTGGATGCTCCAAAGTTGACATTTTGACAGAGCAATTTGACTTGTGACGCTCAGCTGTTGACAGTTGTTAGCCGGTTTGCATAAATATTTGTGATAACATGTGAAATGTATGCGAAAATATTGTGAGGCGTAGATTGTGTGTGCGTGTGTCTATGTGTGTGTGAGAGTGCTTTTACTTGTGTGTGTGTTTGTTTGTTTGTATGTATGCATTCATTTAAGAAGCAGATTAAACAGTAGCTGTCCAACAGTAACATTTTTTTTTTATTGCTGAGGCGGCAGCAACAGCCAGAGCCAGAGCCACAGCCACAGCAGCCGCAGTCGACAGCAAATTAGCGCAGATAGCGCCACATGGACAGCGTTAGCGGATGAATAAACTTTGTGGATGATTGTTGGCTGCTCCGTTTGCTGTTTGCCGTTTCGACTGAAATGTCGTAATAATATTCAAGTCGTGGCTGTTATTTCGAAACAAGTCGAAACTCGTAGTTTCCCAACCTTCCGCCCGCACCGCTATCCCAAATGGAGAAGCTGCGGCAGTGCGAGGCGCTGTTGCTGGGCGGCCGGGGTCGCGGTCGTGGTCACAGTCGCAGTCGCAGTCGCAGTCGCAATCGTGGGCGCGACACAAAATGCGGCTATGCCCCGCTGCTGAATAGCGATGATGATAATGCCAGCAGCTCTGATGAGCGGAATGCAGGTATGTTCCAAAACATTCCAACAGCTTGCAGCATCCAGTCGAGAGAATCGCATTCCAGCTCTTAGTGAATGTGATCGAGAGCAAGTTCTCAATAAGAATTGTTTTTTTTTTTCAAGGAAAAGTTTTGCTAGAATGATAATTGAAGGCTTGCTTCATAAACGTAGTTAGTCTTAGCGTATGCTTACTCTTGTTTTTTACTGTAAAAGGTAAAAACACCTGTATTGCTGATAACGCTGATATCTGCCAGCATCTAAGATAAGTCCATGCTAAGCGGAAGCACCTTCAAGCTGTCCAAACTAGATATAGATATGTACATAGATCTATCTGTGTAGGTATATGAAGACATGTGTTTTCACATATATAACTGTAGTTTTTGTTATTATTATCATTACTATTGTTATTATAGAAAATTTGATACAAACATTTATAAAAAATACTACGACTACTACATAG